AATCAAAAACTGGAGACACAAGACGGCCGGCAAGTTGTATTTGAATGAAACGAGCGCGCGTCCGTTGTGATATGGATGTGCGCTGTGTAATAATGTGTTGCTATTGACGACGGGCATTATAAAGAAGCAAATGCCATAGAATAGAATCTTGCTTAAAAAAAACTGCATAGAGCTGCTTGTTTATTTGTTGTTTGTTGATTTTCATTTATAAAACTTGTTGAAATGTTTTCAGTGTGAGCATCAGTTCTTTTTGAACACTTTCATCTAATTTGAACAAAACCGTGATAATATTGATAATCGCGATAATTTTGGACACTATAATCGTGATATGAAATTTTCATACCGTCCCATCCCTATACTGCCACCTAGCTGTGAATCTTAGTATCTTACCCACAACTTAACATTTATTCTGCCTTTTCACAAATTAAACAACCCACACTTACAATATCACTGTGTAAAAAATAAATACATTCTTCACCAAACAATACACAAGATACCAGCACTTGTTCTACAAAAAATCTGTTTATAATGTAGGCCACTTCCTACATATACGAAAAAAAATAAATACATAAAAAATACAGGTAACGCTTCCTTTTACAGTACAGTACTTATCTAGAAAGTACTGGCTAATATAAGGTAAGTACATGTAACAGGGGTAGGTTTAGGGGTAGGTTCAGAGTTAGTACTAGTTATTAGCCAGTAATTGTAGTTACTAAAATAAGTACATAGCTAAAATTAAGTAATAAGGTATTACGGACCATGTATTTTTTTGCTCAAATATAATACACTTGTATGTTTCCAAGACATTTGTTATGAATTTGTGATGTACTTGTAACACAAATAAAGTTAATATCACCAATCAAGCATGTAATTAGTCTCTACACAGGCAAACTTAAAGTATACTGACTTGAAGTTGTACATAAAAGTACTAAATGGGGAGCAAGAGCGGGGCAAAATTTTGACTTTCTCAGTTTGTGTAAATCTACTAAGGGTTTAGAGTATTTATTTTATCCCACATCAATTTCACACGTCTAGTACTATTATGTGTTTTTGTTTTATTTTATACATGTTTACTTGTTTCTTGATTTATCCCCAAAGAATGGAAGTGAAATGTGACAACATGCCCCATAGTATGTTCTTCTGTGGTTGTGTTTATTGTTGTTGTTGTTTGATTAATATATTTGCTTCTTGTGGGTGTAATCTAAATTGCATTTTAAAATAAAGACAGTTACCTTGAACCATAGGTGGGATACATTGTTACATGCAGTGGCGGTGCTACTTTGAATTACACACACACAGGCCGAGAAACGAAACGAAAACGCAGTAGTGTGGACGGGGCCTCAGCAAGCAGGGCGCCATTGCCAATAATTGAATCGAAATGATAAAAAATAGAAAAACTTCGCGGCACAGAGGATTTTTTTTAACTGCTCGTGCCGCCCCCCATGTGACATGAAGAAATGCCGCCCCGGGCGACTGCCTGCCTGGTTCGCCCGTGCCTAGTCTCAGCCTCAGACGTTACGCCCACGGAACGTTGGCTAAAGTCAGCCAACTGCAGCCGTCAGTCTGAAGGTCTGGCTACGCGAGACTAGCCCGTGCCTAGAACCGCTACTGGTTACATGGCCATATAGCTTAAAATGCTATGTGTAGCAGCCCTTCAACTTGGAATAAACAGGCTTGGGAGTGTTTCCATACGTGTGTACTTTTATTCAGACGAGTGTGCATATCATCAACACCGTGAAAATAACATATAGCTAGATACAAAATAATCATTTGACAAATGCACAAATGCTGTAAAGCTAGCATCAGATTGATAACAGCATAGCAGGCAACATCCATCACGAAATGAATCATTACCATTTACATGAACATATGAAATGAATTAATATGAAAAGATACATTAAAATGAACCACATACCTCGCTCCGCATATCAAAAGCTGCTAAAAGTAGTGATCCGTGGGACGACATTTTTTCCCCCAGTATGGTAGGGGAAGGTACGGCCTTTTTCGCCTCTGATTAGCTAGAAGGGCTCTTCTCTGATTGGTTATTTGATTTGGTCGTGAAACGTCATCTCACGTCCATGGCAAACTGTCTGCTAGTCTGTTTTGACCTAGTCTCGCGTAGCCAGACCTTCAGACTGACGGCTGTTTAGCCAACGTTCCGTGGGCGTGACGTCTGAGGCTGAGACTAGTTTTGACCCTACCCAACACACACACACACACACCTAAACCTACCCAACACACACACACACACACAAACCTACCCAACTATGGAATGCCAAAGCTAACTAAATTAAAAATAAATAAATACATAAATAAATAAATGTACAAAGAAATGTAAAAAAGCAAAAATACATAAATAAATATACAAAGAAATGTAAAAAAGTGAAAATAAATGAGTATTTATACTTTTATTTCCATATTTATGTATAATTGTATTTTTCCACACATTTATTTAGTTATTTATTTATAAATTTTTCATTTATTTATTTCCACTTTTATTTTTTTCCACATTTATTTTAGTATTTATGTTTTTATGTCTACATTTCTTTATTTTCACATTTCTTTATTTCTATATTTATTTATTTCCACATTTCATCATTTCCACATTTCTTTATTGTAACATTTCTTTCTCCGTATGTTAATGAGGGGGGCGTGTTTTAACTCAGCAATCGAGACCTCAGCAATCGAGCTCAAAGTGGCAGTTCCTGAACATAGACATAATAAATACATAGACGCCCTATTGGCTGCTGGAGCGTACGTCAACGGCGCCGCCATATTGGGGAGAGCAACTTTCCAATACCTCTCATACCGGGAATTGAGAAAAATGCCTGTTTTGTGCGCTGCTTGGGGCTGTAAACATCGCCACACAACTGAAAACAGCTTTCGAGGAAGTACCTTTCACAAGCAAGACTGAACGTTTGTTTTTGGTTGTATTTGGTCATGATTTAATTAGTAACGTTTAGAGATTAAATACTACTGTTACTGTGTCACGAAATGTAGTTTTAATCGTTTGTCAGTCGACAATGTAGTTGTTTAAAGCTCAAATAAGTTTGAGCCAGCCACGCTTCTCACGACATGCATTCTGTATTAAGAGTTTGACTTTTAATGACTTTGGTTAATTTGATTTTACTGATAACAGCCATAGTGCCTATTATTATTATTATTATAACTGAGTAGTTTACAGATTTAATATTAAGAACTTGACATATATGATGATGTACAGCCTAGACTACCTATTTAATAAGGTTTGGGTAGATATAAAATCAATTTACAGGGGGAAATATCACCACGACCACGGGCACGACCGGTGCTGTTTGAATGGGCAGGATGCTTCTGTGCTCCAATGCATGGCGTGAGATGCGTGGCTCACTGCGTTTACATGAGCCACTTTTGTTTGATTTAAGAATAATTAAAAATTGATGACTTGTGATTAATCAATATCTATCTAAGAGCAGCATCTAAATATGGGTTGCGTTTTAAGCATTTGAATTGTCACCTGTTATGCATACGAAATTAGGAAACGCGAATGTAACCGCGGCCTTTTACAACTCATTGATCATTATGCTTGCGTGGGAGTCAGTGAAATGTGCGCTGGTTTCTCTCCATGTTCTGCACAAGCCAAAAGCAAGCTATCAGCTATCATATTCATGTGTTAACCCTATATAGCCTACCCTACATACAGTTAGGGTGATATACACGACTTAAAATGTGATATTGACTGCACAGCTCTTGCTTTTCGTTTGGTCACATTCCACAAGGTGTCACTGTGGCCTCAAAGCTTCAGCACTGCCACTCTGAGATTGATTGCTCATGTCTGAGTTAAAACACGCCCCCCTCATTAGTATATGGACAAAGAAATGTTGGAATAAATAAATGTGGAAATAAATTAATGTGGAAATAAATAAATGTAGACATAAAAGCATAAATGCATAAATGAATGTAAAAATAAATAAAAGTGGAAATAAATAAATACATTTAGAAATAAATAAATAAATGTGTATTTAAAAGGAAATAAAAGTATAAATACTCATTTATTTGTACTTTTTTACATTTCTTTATATATTTATTTCTGTATTTATTTATGTATTTTTGCTTTTTTACATTTCTTTGTATATTTATTTATGCATTTATTAATTTTTAATTAAGTCAGCTTTGGCATTCCATACCCAACACACACACACCTAAACCTACCCAACACACACACTACTCCTCCTAACCCTACAGACACATTTATTTTTATTATTAAATTTTTTTTTTTTTTTTCTCTCTCTTCTATGTATTTTTTCTTCTCTAAGTGATGTATCAGCACGAATGTAACTGTATGATTGTTGATATATGCCTTAATTGTTTGTACTTGAATTCTATATGGCAATAAAAAAAAAAGGAAAAAAAAAAAAAAGTTTAATATTGGTAGGCCAAGACTTCAGATGCAAAAAAAAAAAAAACAAAAAAAAAAAAAAAAAAAAAAAAGACACACATACACACTAACCCTACTCCTAAACTTACCCAAGCCAACACACACACACACACAAATCAAATAACCAATCGGAGGAGAGCCCTTCTAGCCAATCAGAGGCGATAAAGGCGGTACCTTCCCCTACCATCCTGGGAGAAAAAAAAATCGCATCCGGGTGGACGGGGGGACGGCACACTTAGACAAACTTCGTGAATTACTTTTACTGCCAAACAAATAAGTATGAATAACACTTAACATTTTAGTTGAAGGCTACAGTAATATGAGGCCTATTTCACAAGATGGCGACCGAGATACTCTCCTCTACACTTAAAGTTCTGCTTTACTACATAATAATCATTAATACACTTGACTAGAAGTACTAAACTAGTCTGGTTTTTCTTTTCCACCAGGGTACCCCCTAAGAAAACACTATTAAACATCATTCAACCCTCAATTGAACTTCTGTAGAAAAGAAAAGCAAGAAAGAAAAATTCCTTCACCATACCTGGTTCGTTGAATTATTGTTCGGATTCTGCTCACATCAAGAGGTGAAGACAACAGATGCATGATCCTCTTTTACGCTGCAGTTTATATTTCCTTACAAAACTCGAACAGTGTACTGATATGATCTGTGGAAGCAGGAACAGGATGTTCATGGGACTGGAATGTTTGCACCCAACCCTGTTTAAGCATTCCATGCAGTTAACTCTTTACTGGAATTTTTGTGACAGGCCAAACGCATTAAATCATTCAAACTCGGACATATTGTGTTATCAGTATGTTTTAAAGATGCAAATATGAGTTTCAATTATTTTTTTTATGAGTTTCTTTCATGATTGGAACACAACACAAGAGATTTTGAAGAATGTGGTCAACCAAACAGTTTTGGGTCCACATTGACCTCATCTGTTTTTTTAATACTATCCATGTCAATAGGGACCAGCAAATATATTTTTTTTAATTGGATCAGATAGCATTTCAAGCTTTCATATGGCCCTGTAGTAATGTATCCCACCTATGGGGCATGTTGTCACATTTCACTTCCATTCTTTCGGGCTATATCAAGAAACAAGTGAACACTGTATAAATAAATAAATCAAAAACACCTAATAGTACTAGATGTGGGAAATTGATGTGGGGGATTAAAATAAATACTCTGAACCCTCTAAATCTGTGTACATATTAGTGTTTTTGTGTGTGTTTTTAATGAGAGTGCAGTATTGAGCTACAACTTGGATCAAGACTGTATCTTGGATCACAGTAACAAAGCATGACATAGTTTTTCACACAAGTCTACTCTTAAAGAAATGATGAAAAAGTGACCAACCTGATATCCAGAATGCTGCTGCAGTTTGTGTGATCCTATTCTCTCGTGTGTTGCTACAGAACTGGTTCCTGCTTCACCTGTGTGATAAATGACAGTTGAGTTGTGTGTTTAAAGGAATGTTGCCTAGCTGCCATAGTGAAAACATTTATAACGTCCTTAAATGATAGAGTTGCTATGGGGATTTGGTCATTGATGATTTACATAAGAAAGAGGATCATATGTGCATGCCTCTCGACGTCAAAGTGTAAAATAAAACACTTAAACACTCTCTCATTTTTAGGGTTGGGTATCGAGAATCGAGTATCGATTGGAACCGAGACTAACTTTTCGTTTTTCCCGGAATCGTTCAAAAGTTAAAAATTCGATTCCTAGTTTCGATATTCACAGTCCGGCGAGCGGAAGAAGAAACCGCTGAACAACACCAATGAAGAAGCGTCTACCGGAAGTGTTGGCATAACCACGCGAGTCGAACATGAGTACCTTACGTTGGCGATCCAAAGTGTGGCTTCACTTTTCTAAAAATAACGAAATCTCGGCAAAATGCAAAATTTGTGACAAAAGGAGTATTTTTACAGAAGGAGTATTTCCTTCAGAAAGGCCATTGGTTAGTAAGGTTAGCTAAACTTTTTTGACCCCGCCTCTTAAAAGAATCGGAATCGAGAATCGTTAGGAACCGGAATCGAAACAAGGAATCGGAATCAGATTCAGAATCGTTCAAATTCAAACGATACCCAATCCTACTCATTTTGTTTTTGTTTTTAACTTAAAAGCAAGATGTGTGAGGTGTGCCATTTGGGACGGGTGTCTGAGCTAACCTTCTTTTCGGAGTTAGTTTTGGTCTGTTGTGACCTGTGTGAGTGACAATGTGTATTTCCCTATTGATAATAGTTTACAGATGCAGAATTCATTTTAAGTAGAAAAACGTCCAAGTGGAAAAAAACCTTTGGGACAGATTTACATTTTTAAACAGCAGCTTATCTAACCTCTGTCCATTTTATTACTTACTCATGATATGAATTATGTAGGCTAAATAAAGCTGTTCTGTCCCCCTCGTGGCATATAGAAGCAATAACAAACAGTTTCACAGACAGGGCTTATTAAGCCACGGTTAGGCCTTAGTTCAACACCTGAAACTGATTTAGAAGATGGGGAAAATATATATAGGCTATTTGCACATCAATTATTGGATGCAGTTTGTAACTATACCCAGATTTAAATGTAGGCTATTTATTATCAAGAAAGCAGATCAGGGCTAGTCAATTTGAATAAAACTATAAATGAGAGAAAAATGATTAGATGGTACAATAATTTTCTTAAAGGGATAGTTTACCCCAAAATTAAAATCTGGTCATCATTTTGAGCTTGAGTTTTTTTTACTTCTGTTGTCAATTGGGCCCATCAACATTTTGTCCATACAAATTCTTCAAAACATCTTTTGTGTTCAAGAGAAAAAAGAAAATCAAACAGGTTCGGAATAACTTGAGTGTAATGGCAATCTTTGCTTGGCTGTACCAGCCCTATATTCAATTACATTTCTTTGCCATCATGCACAGGTAGGAGTGAAGTTTCTACGCAGACACACACGACTTTCCAGCCGTTATTGCAGTTGAGATTTGTGGTTTATTGAAGTAAAAGTACATCAAAGATGAACATACCAGTTGTTTTCTTGTCTTGAAGTTGTGTGTTCTAATCCGTGGTCTGGTGAGAACTGTTTGTGCTCCCCCTACCTGTGTCTTCCATTTCCTGTCACCTATGCCCACGTATATATACAACCATGTGCATCTAATCACTGCCACCTAGTGTCCAAGATACTAATGTAAATATACCCAAACAAAATAAAACTATCATGCTAACAATAAATATAAATGGCTCCTACATTGAGGATGAGAAAATGACGACAGTTTTTTCATTTGTGGGTTTGTTTTCCCTTTAATGTTTTCCTTCCTGATCAGAACAGACAAACCATCAGTTGGTCACTTAAGTTATCCCATATTTGGGCAAAGAGGACATTTGGAAACAACATCAGAACTTCTAAAGAGAGAATTTGAGGACATTTTCAAAAATTGTCAAAAAATAAAGCCTTTGTTTCCCATCCAAAAAAACAAAACAAAAAAAACCCCATCAAAACAATTATTTTTTGTGGATCACTCCCAGCCCATGGCACAAACATGTTTTCTCAGCTGACACTCTTAACACTTCCAATCTCTTCTGGAGTGACAGAAATCTACAAATATATTGCCTCCACCTTAAAGGGGTCATATGCTATTTCAAAAATGTATCTTCTTTGTGTTTATCGATTGGAATGTAATATTTTGTTCTTATTTTTATTTTAATTATTAATTATCTTTCAAAAACCAGATCATCTAACTCCATAAATTAATATCTAAACACTTTTCAGCATCTGTATAGTTTACAGATAATAGCACAAACCAAATTGACAAAAACAAATCGGCCGTATAATCTTGGAAAATGGAAAAATTAATTATCTAATAATTATTTAAATTATTAATATTATCATGCATGTTTAATGTAAAAGCTAAACTTAACCAATTATTTGACATATTTTTGTATCCTAGACTGTTCTCTGACAGCCGACTCTTTAGTCATGATTGCTGTGTGTGAGAGAATTTAACAGATAGGCTATTAACTTACTCTGCAGGATACCTGTATACTGAACACCAACAAATTGTTACCTCAAAAACAGTTAAAAAAATCACTATAGACAAAATGTTTGAAGTTCCACAGACCTAAAACCAGTATCCCACCACTACAGGAACGACTCATTTTTTAATATTAACACAGTGGTGTCCTTATTTATCCAGCAATAAATGTTTAGTGTAACTTCCCCCAAAAGTAGTTTATCTCACATCTGCTAAAACAATGAATACAACAATATCTCTCTTTTTTGCCTCGCCACTAGGGATCGCTAACCTCTTACAATAACACAGGCGGTTTATGGTGCAGTGATTCACGCAATTATCCAGTAGCACCTCAATGCAGAACATGAGATCCACGGGGAGGAGTCGGATCACGATCCAAGGGGTGGAGATGGGTAGGATTAGGGTTGGTTTTAGGGATTAGGGGTGGGTTTAGGGATTAGGGGGCGGAGTTGGTTAGGTTTAGGTGTATGTAAGGTGGGAGGAGTTGGATCTGGATCCAATTATGGGACTGTCATGCTGGTGGTTTATGGATGAGTGAAAAAAAAAAAATCCCAGGCAGTTGTCCATGTCTATCGCCTGCGTACAAGGGAAAACCAGGGATAACACGTATATTACATCATTGACAGACAAAAAGTGAACAGGGACGGGCACTTTTAAAAAATGTGAATTTTTCAAAATTGACAAATTCTTGGAAACATTTAGGATAGTGGAAGTACAAAATTAAAAGAAATATATAACACTGTGGAAAGTGGTTTTTGAACATTTTGATACAAAATGCTTACATATTGTACCTTTAACTATACGCTTAAGGTGCAGTTTAGCTATTTTGAGCTAGGCAGAGGAAAACAGCTTTGAGCTTCATCCTTATTAACATGAAGAACCGGCACATTCAGTAGAAGCAGCTCAATTGGTCTATAACATTTACTTTCAGAACAATGGGAAGTTGCCTTTCATCAAAAGCTAGGTCAAGTGGGCACTTTTGCTCTGCCTAACAGAATGATAAAAGAAGATGCAGACTTAAGAGTTTCTCTCTCGTCCCTCCTTCAAAATTCTTTGGACAGCCTTTTTATTTTGTATACATTTTTCTCCTGTTTTAACGTTAACATTAGTTAGCCTCTGTTTTGTTTATTAGGCCATGGTCTCTCCTGAAGTCTTATATCAAAAAACATTAACAAAAGATGGGTATAAGAAATAAATACTTTTACTTTTCCTAAAAGTTGTGAATGTTTTCACTCTGAGTCTGAAGTGTGTTCTCCACGTTTTTTTTCTCTACATTACATTTTTTATTATCATATTTTCTTTTCTTTTTGTTACCTCCCCTCCTGACCTCTAGAAAAATCCCACTGTGTGAATATATATATATATATATATATATATACATATGAAGAGTTCAGATGCAAAAGCCTCTAAGTGCCATTTGAAATTTTCTTCTAAAATGATCATTTTTATCAAGCTTATATATTCAAGTTCAGTAATTTCACTTAAATGACAATTAATAGGTAATCCTCATTGCAATTTAAGTGAAATCACTGAACTTAAATATACAATCTTGATAAAAATGATCATTCTAGAAGAAAATTTCAAATGGCACTTAGAGGCTTTTGCATCTGAACTCTTCATATATATATATATATATATATACTAACCAGGCTACTAACTGAGACAACCCAGGATTGAGAGTGCTGGGACACATTCACACGAAAATTTGGCATATCCAATCTACCTAACCCTCATGTCTTTGGACTGTGGGGGAAACCGGAGCACAAGGAGGAAACCCACGCTGACACAAGGAGAACATGCAAACTCCACACAGAAAGAACACCGGGGCTCAAACTTTCTTCCTTTGAGGAGAACGTTCTACCCATTGAGCATTGCTTTAACCACAATGTCAACATGTTAACGACAAAGTTAATATATATACAATCTTTAATCAAATGCATAAGTTTATTCATGCTTATGCATTTGATTAAAGATGACTGTGTTCACATTGTCAACTACTATATCTGAGGTTTGTTTTGACAATAACAGACAAACATAATCAGTGCAGAGAGAATGTTTAATAATGTTTGTACAGTAAATGCACAAGCCACTTTTGCAGGATACCAATCAAGTACATAAAACAATTCAGCAACAATATATCACATTTTGGCTAAAGTACCTGACTGAAGAGTTCCCTTCTTACTGAATGCACATTTTGGCTAGAAACTTCTCTCTCTTGAACTGATATTTAACAATTACTGGTATGATGGCAGCAATAGCTAAAGTAAAAATTAGTTGTTTTGAGAGCGGGATCACTCCTCCATACTAGTCCATAGGCTTCTTGGGGGAATGACACTTGCTGGCCTCGAAAAGTTATTAAAGACATCGTTAAAATAGTCCAAGTGACTTCAATCTTAAGTTTATCAAACGACTTTTAGTGCGCAAAAAACAACAAAAATAACAACTTTATTTCAACTATTATTTTACTTCTCTCTCTGGCCCTCGAGTCAGGTTACTAGTTTAATAGCGTAAGCTTCTGTTGTTGTACGTCACACGCATCACACACGACCAGCGTCGGCCAATAGTGAGCCTACGTGTGACGCTATCACACTACGTTAACTGACTAGAGGCTCAAAGGGAAGGAAGTGAATAGTTGAAATAAAGTCGTTATTTTTGTTTGCTTTTGCGCACAAAAAGTATTCTCGTCGTTTGATAAAGTTAAAATTGAGCCACTGAAGTCACTTGGACTATTTTAACGATGTCTTTAATAACTTTTCGAGGCCGGCAAGGTTCAATTCCTCAAGAAGCCTATGGACGAGTATGGAGGATTGCTCCAGCTCTCAGATTTCATCAAAAATATCTTAATTTGACTTCCGAAGATGAACGAAGGTCTTACGGGGTTGGAACAACATGAGGATGAGTAAATACTGACAGAATTTTCATTTTTGGGTGAACTAACGCTTTAAAGCTCATGAAAGATGCTTTTTGTCCCACAGGCAGTGTCGTTGTGGTTATAGCAGAGTTATAACTGAACAATGCTAACCAGCCAAACCCGTTATAACATTGATTCCTGGCATTCCTGTAACAGTCGGCAGAGGCAATTACCCACATTTACAATTTCACAATTACACTTGCAGAACTTTTTTCATGACGTGAAATAACCAAATGCAGAGGACATTTTTCTGAGAATTGGTTATGAGTATGTCACTTAAAAATGCTTTAGTAGGGCGACAACTGCACTTACTGTGTGATTTCCCCCCAAAATCCCTGACAAAAGTGGTATATCCTTTTATCGGTTGTGTTCTACAGATAAACACTTTGTCTTCTACAGGTCTGTCTTAATAAAATCAAATTCAGAGCCACAATCAGGTCATTTGTGGTTTTGAGCTTTGTTACTGACATAAACCTGAGCATGATTTGTCCTGTAATAAACTGATCTCTATCATACACCTTCAGATCCAGTCCATCAGACTCCTGAAATGAAATATACTTTTAATGATTAAATGATCTGAATTCAAAAAAGAAAACAAGCAAGCACATTATGAACAATTATAAAGATTTTCTTGTTTTAATTGTGTATGATGTGTGAGTGTTTCAAATAAAAAATAAAAACATGTATAATACTGAAATGGTGGTAACAGTATTTGGTGGCATTTCAGAGAACTACTTTTGCACAATTTTTCTTTTCTGTTGTACGTGATACTTGCCGTCTTTTTCTGCTTGTGCGTATTCCTTGCGGTGACAGAAAAGCACGACTAAACCTGCGACGACCAAACCTGCGAAGGCTAAACCTGCGATGAACAGCAGCAGCAACAACGGCAGCGATATTAGAGGTTGGTTTGATTCTGCAATAAAACACAGTCATTAACTTACTGTTAGAGAGTCTCAACAAAGATGAAAACAAAAGATCTGATGGGGAAAATATCGTAACATGCAATTAACAGTTATTTTGATAAATCAATGAATCTGTATATTATTTATATGATTAATAACTAAATACAAATATTTTCTGTATTGAAAAAACATATATCAAATCGTTGTCCTCCAAATTAAAGATATATCCCAGCTAACAAATGTATGTTTTAAAAACATTGTGGAAACAGTGATTAATAATGTTTCTGAAACAAAGAATGTTATTTAAAAGGTTATTTTAAGGCCTTCTAAATCGATCCAGTGGCGTTATTCGGTTAGAGGCGAAGGTCTCACACGTGTTACGTCTCATCCCATGGCAAAGGGATTTTTAATTAAATGCAATACATTTAATCTTAACTCGTTTCCATAAATGAAAAGGTTTTTCAAAGATATCTGTGCATCATTAAATATACGTTAATGTTTGAATATTCCTTTTAACTTTAATGAAAATTCACGGGCTGATCTGATCCCTGAGCTCTCCATTGCTTTTCTTTATATATTCAGACCTCATTTGATATGTAAAACATGAGTTTACAGTGGAAACTTACTGTGGTCGGTCCCCCTATTGTGGCTTGATGATGATGATCCTGATGATGAAGAACTGTTGCTTGTGATGCCAGAAGAAGGAGGATGATCTGAAAAGAAGTATACAAACAATAAAAGATGCTATTAAATTAATTTAAAAGCAGTGTTGGTTATTGAAAACTTCAGGTCAAGTCAAGTTTAATTATATATCATAATACAAATGTCAAAGACAATTGGTACATTAAAATGCATTTGGTTGAGGCTCAGGCATTCAACAGTAGCAATATATACTTATAATTTTATACAATTTAGAGAGAGAAAAAAAGTAGATATTTACAGTGAATACAGTATAAATATGCAAAATATGAATATTTGCTTGCTTTGTATATTAAATAATAAAAAGTATAGTATGTGCAGTGTTTTAAGAAATTGATTATAGAGTGTCTTATATTTTTCACCCAGATTGTAGCCATAAAATAATTAGCATATGATTTATTTACATTTTGTTTGAGAAGCATCTGCTGTCTCACTATTTACACTAAATGTAATCAAGGTGCTAATTGTTTCTATGTATACAAAAAGTATCTAGAAAAAACAAACAAACACTAAACACTGTAAATGGCGTCTACCTTCATTTGCACTCAAATTTATATTGCGAACAGTAATAAAGACAGGCAGGTAAAATTTTAAATGTACGTTTCACTATAAACTGAATTATACAGTCAATTATTTAATTACAATGTCGATCAAAAGAAACTAAATGTCATTATGAATAATCAGGAGATCGACAAGATGCCATGAAATAAATATGATGAGGGTGTTCATAATCTATTAAATATCTTCAACTCACCATAAATATGAACATTGAACTTCTTCTCAGTTGTCCCTGAGCTCCTGATGATCTCTACTTTGTAAAGTCCAGCATGTGTCTTTGAGATGTTTTTGATGGTCAGAGATCCAGTTTGATTGTCTAAATGGTGTCTGTCTCTGAACTTCTCAATATTACCATAAGAGATGGCCAGTCTGTGGATTTCAGCTATAGGAGTGCCATTAAACGTCCACAGTATCTGATCTTTACTCTGTACTTGAACATCAGTGTTTAGAGTGACAGAATCTCCCTCAGTCACTGACTTCACTTCATCTGTACCAGCGGCAAACACACCTGAAACTGATTTAGAAAATAGTTGTAAGTCTTATGTTTAGGAAAAATAAATACATTTGCAAGATATTCAGTATACATTTGCTCATCAATTATTGGCTGAAGTTGGTAATTTTACATGGATCAAGTTGAGTTAATGTATGAAATAAACAGGACAGTCAGGATTAAAAAAAATATGGATGAGAGAAAACGTTTTCCTTGACATCCACTCTTTCAAGAACCACCTCTTGCATTAAAAATGTACTGCCAATCTACTGTATAACTCTGACACATCACTTTCTACAGTGCAGTTTGTTCAGTTTATTCTGTGATGCATTTAGTAAAACTCAACAATCACTCAGTCTCCGTTACGGTAAAACAGCAAGTACTATCAGCAATGTTAGGTATGTCTCGCCATGAAAAGAAGATGAGAAGAAACAAAGTGACCTATATGTCAAACAAACAAATTCATTTGTCATTCTGTGATATGAGAGATCAACAATGGATAAATATTAAATTACGTATGGGTTCACATCCTACAAATCATATTAATGTGAAGAATTCATATCTATCTCTTTAGCAATGCCCTTGCTAAAATCAACACTTCTCAAAAAAAGAAAACGTAAAAGATAAAGTAGGCTATGTCATGTGTACTTAAAATGTATCTCAAAAGTGTTATTAAATATGAAACACTGCATCACTCAAGCTGTTCACTAGGCTAAATAAGAATGCAATTGGGAAAAAAAACAACAGGGTTCAGAACAATAATAAATGACATAGAATCACTATAAACCTCCAATTCAAGCAAACAAACTACTTACCGAACAAGAGCGACAGAAAAAAGTTACACAAATGATTCATTTCCATCTCATAAATTAGCCTAACGGACTAAACTGTCCGTGTGCAGTTCGCCGTTCAACAGTTAAGAGTGTGTGAGACTGTTACTCTTTCATTCTGACATGATGAAGCTTGCCGAGCAGGTTTTCCCAAGTTTAGCTGAAGAACGGAGACACGTGGGGAATGTGTGTAGGTAAGGGTGGGGCGGATATGTACAGAGTACTGGTGATCACTATTACAGCGTCGTTAGACATAGGCATTCCGAATCATGTATTAGCCTGAGGCGAGACAGGTGAATAGGGTAAAAAAAAATAATAATAGATACAATCATAACACTTCCTCAGGTGATTACTTACACAAATAAAAAATGGATTATACGTTTTTGAAATTTGTATGTTTAATTATGCAAATTAGGCAGTTTCTTATTAATATGCACAATTTTGCATATTTTCGGTAGATCTGAGCATATGATAAAACCAGGTGCAAAATTATTTTTTCATTTTGTTAACACACAAGAAGAAAAAAAAAGGCTCAGGGGGATTTCAGGATATATGCTTTCATTACCTAGAAATCAATATATACTGTCCATACCCATGCCATATATATATATATATATATATATATATATATATATATATATATGTATTTTTTTTTATTATGTCACATAAATCAGGCCAGGAATGATTTATTAACAAATCCCTCAGAATAAATCTTCAGAATACGTGTATAGCCGGAAAGTTTGGTTTACAAGATGCAAATTGGGCTGAGATGTTTCTGAATGGCAAAAAAACTCATTTTGAGAAGGCAGTTTGGCAAGGCAGTTTTATTTATATAGCACGTTTCAGCAGTGGTGCAATTCAAGGTGCTTTACAAGGTACAAACATAAAAACAACATTAAAAATACAAGAATAAAAGAATGGGATATACTAAGAAATATATTAAGAACATTAATATATATTAAGAATACACAACATTAAATAAATTGGTCTAAAAGAACTAAGCGTTGTTGCGAACTTACAATAATTTTATTCCAGATATGCGGCGCATAAAAACTGAACACTGCTTCCCCATTTTTAGTTCTAACACTGGGGACAGCAAGCAGACCTGCCCCAGATGATCTAAGAGGTCTAGATGGTTCATAGCTTACAAGCAAGTCCGAAATATAACTAGGTCCTGAGCCATTTATTGATTTGTAAACCAGCAGGAGTACTTTAAAATCAATTCTTTGTGGCACAGGAAGCCAGTGTAAGGATTTCAAAACCGGAGTAATGAGATCCATTCTCCTGGTCCCTGTGAGGACCCGAGCAGCAGCATTTTGAACTAGCTGCAACTGCCTGATAGATTTTTTTCGAGAGGCCTGTAAAAACACTATTACAATAGTCCAGTCTACTAAAAATAAAAGCATGGACAAGTTTTTCCAGGTCCTGTTGGCGCATCAAATCTTTTACCCTTGCTATATATTTTTAAGATGGTAATAGGCAGACCTTGTTACAGCCTTAAAGGGTTAGTTCACCCAAAAATGAAAATTAAGTCATTAATTACTCACCCCCATGCTGTACCAACCCCGTAAGACCTTCGTTCGTCTTCGGAACACAAATGAAGATATTTTTGATTAAATTTGAGAGCTGTATAACTACCACATAGGCTCCTAAAGGACTGCCTCTTGACGGCCCAGAAAGTCAATGAAGAAAATGTTTAAATATCCCAAGTGACTACCGTGGCTCAACTATAAGTTTATCAAGCGACGCAAATACTTTTTGTGCGAAAAAACAAACAAAAATAACGAGTTTATTCGACTATTTCTTTTCTTCCTTGTAGGCCAGAAACGAGACTTCCTTAGATTTCCACGACGCATGCGTGAGATTTGCGATCTGCTCACACCAGCTTACACTACTTCAGAGCCGCTCTGCACTACTTCAGATCGCAAATCTCACGCATGCGTCGTGGAAATCTAAGGAAGTCTCGTTCTGGCCTACAAGGAAGAAAAGAAATAGTCGAATAAACTCGTTATTTTTGTTTGTTTTTTCGCACAAAAAGTATTCGCGTCGCTTGATAAACTTATAGTTGAGCCACGGTAGTCACTTGGGATATTTAAACATTTTCTTCATTGACTTTCTGGGCCGTCAAGAGGCAGTCCCTTAGGAGCCAATGTGGTAGTTATACAGCTCTCAAATTTAATCAAAAATATCTTCATTTGTGTTCCGAAGACGAACGAAGGTCTTACGGGGTTGGTACAGCATGGGGGTGAGTAATTAATGACTTAATTTTCATTTTTGGGTGAACTAACCCTTTAACGTGATTGTTAAAATTCAAGTCTGGATCCGTAATTACGCCAAGATTTCTGGCTTTGTCAGTAGTTTAGTACAGTGAACTCACTGTCATGTTCAAAAAAAAAAAAAAAACAATTTGAAATGATTTGAGCTTTGTGACATTATCCTGCTGGAAGTAGCCATCAGAGGATGGGTACATGCCATGGTGGCCATAAAGGGATGGACATGATCAGAAACAATGCTCAGGTAGGCTGTTGCATTTAAACGATGCCCAATTGGCACTAAGGGGCCTAAAGTGTGCCAAGAAAACATCCCCCACACCATTACACCACCACCACCAGCCTGCACAGTGGGAACAAGGCATGATGGATCCATGTTCTCATTCTGTTTACGCCAAATTCTGACTCTACCATCTGAATGTCTCAACAGAAATCAAGACTCATCAGACCAGGCAACATTTATGCTCATTTGGAAAATCCCAGTAATTGAGCAGATCGTGAAATACTCAGACTGGCCCGTCTGGCACCAACAACCGTGGCACACTCAAAATTGCTTAAATCACCTTTCTTTCCCATTCTGACATTCAGTTTGGAGTCTTGACCAGGACTACACCCTTAGGCTATGTTTACACAGAAACGATTCTGATGAGAAAACGCAAAAAGTGGCATTGCATCATCACTTTTTATTCTGCGTTTAGACGAGCGTTTTGTGTGGGAAATCCGCGTGCAAATGGTGACGCAAAAGTCTGTGAAATTCAATGTAGTATGCACTTCAGGCGGCTAGGAGTGCATACTGCAACAACACCAAGTCCACGCGCCTGCGTACAACTTTCATAGTCAAGCAGACTTTTGCGCTTTTACCGTTTACACGGGAACACGACGGTGGAGCGTTTTGAAGATTTCCACTCTGGAGGGTGGTTTCACTTTTTCGCGTTTTTAAGCCTAAAAAAAACGCCGTCACCGTGTAAACGAAAGGCACATCCGATAAAATATTTTTACGTTTTCACCCGCGAGCGTTCTTGTGTAAACAGGGCCTTAAATGCATTGAAGCAACTGCCATCTGATTGGTTGATTAGATAATTGCATTAATGAGAAATTGAACAGGTTTTCCTAATAATCCTTTAGGTGAGTGTATATAAAGTACATTGGACCTTGCTATTACGCCTGCTAACCCATTTTGCCATAATCAGAGCAGTTTGAAGGAATTTGGGGGCCCCAAGCAAAATGGACATCACGATCAACCGACCAAAGAAGAGGACTTTATTCATATATTATATCTACATATATACGTGTATATATGAAGAGTTCAGATGCAAAAGCCTCTAAATGCCATTTGAAATTTTCTTCTTTAATGATGATTTTTTATCAAATTTGTATATTTAAGTTCAGTAATTTCACTTAAATAACAATTAATAGGTAATCTTCATTGCCATTTAAGTGAAATCACTGAACTTAAATATACAAGCTTGATAAAAATGATCATTCTAGAAGAAAATTTCAAATGGCACTTAGAGGCTTTTGCATCTGAACTCTTCATATATATATATTTTTATTTTTTTATTTTTTTTTGCAGTGTTTCTTAAGCAAAACAATCCAAAACAAATGAAATAACAGTTCAACGTGTAGCCTTCGTCTATCCCTCACAGCTTCACTTTCATTCGATGGAACCAAACCTTGATTGATCTGAGAATCTGAGGGATGCTGATAAACCGTCAACGAACAGAGGTAAAGCTGAGATTGGCTGAGAGTTGATTGGCTGATGTTTTGCTTCTCTTATGTTAATCGGGTTAATTATCTGAAAGTGATGCTCTCGAACTTTGTTCATAAAACATCATGGCCATATTATCTGAAGCTAGAAATAAGAACACAACAGATTACTAAATTGGCCAACGCTCAAAAACAGCCATTTATACACCTGCTATTAATCTGCTATCAAACTACTCTCAGGTGCTCGATATGATTCATTGAAGGGACATCTCTGATTTAACCTCCATTTATCATTCTTTTACTACATGTTTTTAAAATGTAAATAAGTAAACAAAACACCAAATCATATACAATGAAGGTCATATTCAGTGACACTGAGCTCAACACACCCACGCACCACTGAACAAAAAATTAGGAGGAAGTGGTGACAGCCTGAACAAAAGCAACAGACAAATAGGGCAAATGCCTTTTTTCTTTGGGCGTGATGGAATATCTAAACATGGTCATTAATATTTAAAAACGCAGTACCATGCTAAATATTAGAGAATGTTAAAATACTGTTAATTCTTTGTACTACTGAGCACTTCAGCATTATCACAATGTGCATTCATGTTTAGAATTCATGTGTATTCAAACCAGATGTGGATATTTTAAATCTAAATGAATTATGAGACATTTTCATATTTGATTGTCGTTACGATGACAATGAGAGAGCTATTAAAAAAACTGATGGAAAATGTGCCTGTTGTCTGTGGCAGAACTCTTTAACCACAGTGGTGGGTGATGCTGTTTCTTCTCTCACGCACACATAAGCCCTCAATGACCACTTTTATTTAGAGCCTGATAAACAAGTGCAAAATATTACTTTCATTTAAAATATAGTCATGCTAAAATTAAAATTGAAAGCATATTAAACTATCACCAGCAGCATATATTGTTGATATAAAATATTTGTAATCAACACAGAAGGATTTCTACCTTTGTCAATAACTTGTATCCTTTTTTAATCCTTGTTGTTTTTGAAATGTGCTCAAAGGAATAAACTGCCTTTGCGTTTTAGTGTGTCAGAGGTTGCAGAAGTAAAACACCTACTGTGGTCTGAGTCTGATCTCACGTGATTTCAGAAACATTGCAGAAGTGAAGTGACGGTTGCATTCATTGAGCGAGAGCCACCAAACTACGGAAATGTAACAGTCAAAAATGTGCATGTGGATATTCATCTTGTTTTTGATCCCTGCTCAGGGTGAGATTTTACCATCATATTTAATCTAATTATACTATTACCATACTTACTATTAAATGGATTTTGTTTTAATTGATGAGATTGATTAACAGAAAATCTAAAACCTCTTTGTGTCCGATCTATTTGGTGCAGATTATTGCAAAATGTCTAAGCCATAGTAGTGTACACTACACTGATGATGATGTAAATTGAAAAATGTCGGCTTTGCATTTGGCTTCTCAATTACATTTCTTCTAATCTTCTATTATGGGTGCGATCTCCTTTCCTTGTTGAGCTTTGATTAACCTAAAGGTGTGATCATTATAATAATTTTTATATAAGAGTGAAAGCATTTCCTGTTGAATTGTTTGTGGGTCATTTTTAAACAGAAAGCTACTGCTTTTTTTTAAGCTTGCAGTTCCTCAAAGCTATGTTTGTTTAAGTTATTCTATTTATGAATGTTATGTACAGTATCTGTATGTTTCAGATGCGTTTGGGGCAAGTTCAGACGCAGACAATACAATATCAGTGATGGAGGGAGATTCTGTCTCTCTACACATCAGTGTTTCTGCAATTGAGAGAGATGAGCAGATACTCTGGAGGTTTGGACCTGAAAACTCTCGTATTGCTGAAATCTACAAGCAGAAGACCCCAACATATGACAGTAATGAGCTATTCAAAGACAGACTGGAGATGAATAATCAAACTGGGTCTCTTACCATCAAAAACATCAGAATAAAACACTCTGGACTTTACAGAGTAACCCTCATCAGTAATAGAGGGATTTCAGACAAGAGGTTCAGAGTAACTGTTTATGGTGAGTACATTCATCTAACCATCATCTGTGAGGTCTCATAGGAGTTTCAGTGTTTTATCTCGAAAGCCTGTGACACGCCAAGCAGACAATCGCCAAAGGCAATGTTGAGGTGTGTTCTGCACCGTTGTTGACTCTAGTCAGATTCTGTCTGTCAGGGGTTGTTTAGGCAAATTTGCTATGTGCAATCAGCGTCGAGCCATTGGTGAGAGATAGAACGCTGATTGACTGTTCTGTTTAGCGAACAAATCATTAAATAATAGTAAAACAGACAGCAATGAAGTGGAAACGGTACAGACAGAAGGCTGTTCTAATTCACATAATCTTACACGACTGTTCCTGGGCGAAAATTGAAAAATTAGGCTAAAGCCCCATTCACACTGCCGCAGTATTTCGTACAGTAATGGACAAATTCGCTTCTAATTTGCATAAAGTAAACAAATTCCTGAACTTTTGTCACATGTCTCACGTCGCTTGACATGCCCACGTTCTGTCGACAAAGGTCTCCAGCCAGAAATGAATTGGATCATGGTGGTGTGATGTTGGTGGTGTGAACAGGGCTTAACATAAGGGGAGTGGAATAAAGAAAGTCATCGGCAGGATTGATATTTAATGCAGTAAGTAGGCTATGGGCTAGAATTAAAGTAACAACTTCGGTGCCAAGTCGGTACTGATATGTTAAAATTGTGGTGCTTTGAGCGCATATCGTGAATCGTAAAAGCGAAATCGTAAAAACCTCTGATTGGCCATTGTGTTAAAAAAAGCATGTTAAAAAAGGGAGTGGGTGTAATGGATCGGTGAAGAGCTTCATTGATGTATATTTACAACATATTTTTGATGCGAGGATCAGTGTAGCCAATTTCTGATAAGCACATGAGTCTAATGGGCAATCAGAGGTGTTTACGATCAATAGCTGACAAAGTGTCACATTTTTTAAAATTCCTTACCGACTGGTATCGAAGTCGGTACTTTTTGACTCTAGAATTCCGCTGCTTTATAGTGTGTTGCCCTGTCCCAATATCCGCACTAGCGCCCTTGTGCCCCTCAAAGCACGTTCTTGCTAAGGGGTGTCCCGATCCTCTAATAGTGTTCTCCAGGGGTGATAATAAGGGCACTTACAGGAGTAGTTCACTTTTAAAAATTCGCATTGTAGTATGTAGTACATGACATGTAGTATTGTGACGTTTCGAACAGCTAACCAATGGGGGAGAACGGGTGCTATGGTGCTGTTCGGGAGCGGAAACTCCGAAGATAAAGAAAGCCGGTGTGGTGAAGAGTTTTTCAAGGCCGCGAAATAAAAAAATATTAGTGTTATTGAGTCACGAAATGTAGTTTAAAGAGTTTTTCAGTCGAGAATATAATTGTTTAAAGCTCAAATATGTGGTTTATTTACTACTTAAAAATTTGATCTGACGTTTTTGGAGTTCCAGGTGATCACCGGGCCGCTCATTTACCCGCCTGGAACAGCCTTGCCTCGGCTAGTCATTCTGACGTTTCCCGCGGACTCTGTGTCTAGTGGTTAAACATGAGCTATAAATCGGCTTGTATATACAGTATCTAATGGGCGATCTTTGGTCTCATTAATCTATGATTTGTTCACTGGCAAATCGTTTTGGCTGAGGGAAAAGTTAAGTTTCATAACTATTTAGGCTATTTAACTGTAATGTTGTAACGTTAGCCTGTTGACTTATATTCGAAAATAGAATTTCATGAAAAAATTCAGTTGTAACTGAGAGTAGGTAAGGGAAGCTTCATTCGCAGCCCATTTCTAAAGGGCCGTCACCAACGGGCGTTGTTCAAACGTAAAACCAATCAGGGCAATCATCATTGTATAAATCCCGCCTCAACGTTTTTTAATATCTCAAATTTGCCAGAAGTTCGTCTGGGTTTTCCCAGGCTAGACTGACTAGATAAAACGACCAAGACTTGCTTAGATTAAAATTTTTACGATTCCTATAATTTCTTTTTTTTTTTTTTTGCTTTTTGTTTAACAAACACAAAAACAACATAAGTAGCCTGACACACAACAAAGATAAACGGATTAAGTGTACATAAAATAACAAGGCACTCTATGAACAAAATGAAGAAAAAATAGAGCTTCTGGAGGCATACTATATAATCAGAATATCACAAATGCATTAATGCTGTCCAAATATACAGTAGTGTCAAAGATCAGCACATTCATTCAAACACTATCCGAGACATCAATGTAAGCAGCTAAACAAGATATTTTAACACTAAAATTCTCAAATCATTATTAAAACTGAAAAACAACAACAAAAAACAATGTGAATCCCATCCATGTGACTTCTATTTTATTTAAGGATTTTTAGGCTAGAAAAAATTGCCATCTCTCCCTCAGGCATTGTAATATAAAAGCCCTTACAGCAGTTTTAATCTTTTTTTTTCTTCTTTTTTTTTTCTCTCTGCCACAGTAGCCTAATAACTATTTTTGGTACAAGTGTAAAAATATTAAAAGAGAGAGATAAAAACAAACTTCACTAGGTGTTGAAAACTGTGGAAATGGGTCATCTCAGTTTGTGAAGTGTCCATTAGAGTCAGTTGAGACTTCATCATTCAAGAAAATGGTGGATATTTTGGAGTGAATGACTCACTCATAAAGTCACTCGTCACCCCCACCGTCAGAACATTGTTGCCTGGAGAACAAAAACTGATGGAAATTGCCTGCCAATAAGTAACTACAGTGCACTTATGACCTACTTGAACAAGAAACAAGAAGTGAAAAGTCCCACTGCCACTCAAATATTAGTATTTGGAACCAACTAACTGACTAAGTCTAAATTGAGGTTCAACGCAACCCAAAAATCTGTGCTGACCACAATATGCACAGCTCTATAAAAAAATTACATTTATGATTAGTTATTAAACTCTATTCCTTCATTTAATAAACTACTGCTTCAATGATCAAGAGAATAAACAAACATCTCTTATTAATGAAATTACATTTAGTGAGAGCTTTCCAAAGGTGTAATTACACAGAGTGCAAACATTGCCGACTTCTTTGAGTAAACTGTTCTATAAGTCATTTAATCTTTATATAGGGAGCATTAGAGGCTGAGGTGGAGGTGAGAGTGCTAATGTAATGTAGTATAATGATGTCGTATCTAATATTCTCTAGGGGTGCTTATCGTTGGCTAAATAGCCATCCTTCAGCCCGTGACCCATATGAATAAGTCTTATCTGAAGGACAGCAACTCTGAGAACACGGATTTAATCTGTATTATACAAAACACTTCTGCGAACTATGTTTCTTCTGTGTTGTTTTCCAGCTCATCTGCCTATTCCCAACATCACCAGAGACAATTCATCATCAGAGTTCAGATGTTCACTGGTGTGTTCAGTGTTGAATGTGAGTGATGTGACTCTCTCCTGGTATAAAGGAATGAGTGTATTATCCAACATCAGTGTGTCTGATCTCAGCATCAGTCTCTCTCTACCTCTGGATGTGGAATATCAGGATAAAAACACTTACAGCTGTGTGATCAACAATCCTGTCAGAAACCAGACCACACATCTGGACATCACGCAACTCTGTCAGCAATATGCAGGTAAGACAGCAGTGATGCTACTATTAAATTACTGAGCTAATCTGTGGTTAGCCAGAGAGTAAAAGCTTGTTGAAATGGAAGGCTCAGTCTTGTTTTTTTTCTTCCCTCAGACTCTGAACAGTGTTGTGGTTTTACTGAAGCTGTGATCCGATTGGTCATCTCTGCTGTGGTGGGCGTGGCTACTGTTGCTCTATTAGTTGACCACTTCAGATCCAATAGTATTGGACATAAACAGGAAGTAGAAAGGTCTCCATCAGTCCCTTAATGACTTTTTAATGTATGAAGTTGTTTGAATATGATGTAGCCTATGCATTTTGGCTGTTAAATAATTTGTGCTACATAGGGTGGCCATACGTCCGGATTTTAAACCACGTCTGGCGAAGCCGCAAGCCGGACTCTAAGTTGTCCTCCTTTTGGAGTTGCGCTAAATCCGCCTAAAAAAAACCTTCTCTATAATCTTTATTGGGACGCAGCAGCATAGCATCTAATGCCGTAAGATCTCTGTTCAAACAAATGATAAGCTGAAAGGAGCGTCAAATAAATATCTGATATATCATTGGTTAAAAATGTAAACAAGCCTCCATGTGCTGGCTACGTCATATAACATTAACATGCCGAAACGTCTGATCTCATTTAATCCGGGATGGACAAAAGAGCACAAGTGCTGTTGTAGCCTGAGCTGCTGCAGAGGCTGAACTTCTTGTTTAAGAACTGAAATGTGCATTATTTTATTTTTTTCGCATTCATTATTAGTTTATTTATGCATTTCTTTTATTTCCAGAAGTCCAGAAATGTTATGTTTTCAAGCCCTGTGTGCACTTTGCAAGATGTCGTTTATCCCAGTGGTCAGTTTTTGAAACAGCCACCACAATGTCTTGAATAAAAACAAATAGTGTGAACAAACACTTTTTTGCCTCTTCTGTACATAGGTCTACATCAAGATATATCGTAGATCAAATTGTCTGGCAATGAATGGAGTAGGCTATAGGCTATTTCAGAATCACTTTATCATGAAACATTTTGTATGATGGACAAAGTTGTAGCTATTGTAGTTGTGTAGTTGTTATGGAAAAGGCCACTCTATGACACATACACATCTGGTGGCCATGTAGTATTTAGTCAAATCTCGAATCATGAGTTCAATTCAGATTGGATTTCTGCAACTTATGGGTAAAGCCTTTTGTTTTTAAATCAGAAAACAAAGTTGGTTACAGAGTGCCATCAAATGAAGTAAACTATGTTATAGTTGACTATGACTAATAACGTTAGTTATGTCTGTAAAAAATAAATAAATTAATTAATTAATTAATTAAAAAACGGAACAAAAAATATAACATTTTGATTAATTATTATTAGTTTTGGCTAGTCCAATAGCTTGTACTTTAACTGGAGACTGCCTCTATTAACTGTCATGTTTACACATTTATTGGCATGTTGTCTAATTTTTAATTTAAGTAATCATTATTAACTAGGTAACATTTAAAAGTCTGACATCTTAAAATTAATTATCTGAAATTTTTCAATAACTGCACTTTAAGTCCTCCCAGTTCCTTGTTGCAATTTGCAACTTCAAACCAAATCCTAAATTTGACAGCATTATATAAAAAAAATTATAATAATATTTGGAAATATACAACGTTCCGGGTTCCATATTTGTCCACTGATAGAAGTGATACTGTGACTATATAGAAATGTATTCATTTATGAATTCATTCGTCAAAGAAAATGGACTGTGGGTGTCACCTGGTGGCCTTTTGTGGTATAAACCTGTCTTTTTCAAATCTGCTGTGTGTGTTTGCTAATAAATGCGTTTGTTAATAAATGCCCCCATTTGTGTAATTTCTACAGAATAGGTTACTTTAGGTAAAATAATATATTTTACAGTAGTACCTTTACCATTTTATACAAAATACGTAGACATTTTTTAGCAAATGATTCTACTGGCCAGTAGTAATGTAAGATGCAAAAAGATCCTAGCTGAAACCCCACCACCACTAATACAAAACAAACTGACAGTCAACGCAAACACTCGTCGTCTCCGACCATAACAGGTGTTGTGTCGATAACTCTCTGCCAAATTATTCGCAGCCGCTACGTGCTTACCCAGCCTCACACATCTCCTAACTGCTCACCCGGTGTTCCGACAATTCATGCTACCCATCGAGATTTCCTACTTACCGGTTATGCGCATGTGCAGACTCACAGTTTTTTTTTTTTTTGTTTGTTTTTTTTTATACAAAAGGTACATTTTCCTGTTATAATGTATAATTTCCCTTTAAAAAAATGCTTACTACCATATGAATATTTGTGCGGTCAGCCAGCTGAAAAGGAATAACTGAAAGTTTCAGTTACTATAAGAAAAGGTGTACTTTGACAAGTCAAAGATGAATATTTTATGATAATTTTTACTTTTCACACCGTTTTAAAAATAAAAACAGTAGTCTACAGTATACAGTAGCTACTCATAACTTAGAATTGTATTAGAATTGTATTTCATACGACTTTAATCGGCATTCTGTGATCAATTCGCGCTACGGTAGCATTTTTCGACAAGGCAGCAAAAATCGACAGAACACCGGCTCAAGGGTAGTAGTAATAACCTGGGTCAGATTCGAAATGGGCACAAGCACAACACTGGCCATTGCGTTCAATAGATTAACAGACATTGACTTGATGGCTCAAGTCAGCGGTGATGCTCCAACACAATAATTCTCTCGTCAGCACTCGCTCTCACCGTTTTACGACAATAAAACAAACAAAATCCCATCAGATGTAGGCTATCACTAATCTATCAAGCACTCTAAGTATAGACCGATCAGTGTATCATTCATCTTAGTTCAATCAAAACTGTCACGTTTTAATGCGTACGAAGACCCAAACTTTTCGTAAAGCAAATCGGTCACATATCTATGTTCATATGGGAAAAACAATATTCTTACCTTTTACAATCAACAATCCACTCAAAACAAATACCCCGCCAAACATAGTGAAATCCAGATATTTCTCAGCCTGAACTTGGTTAATAGCGATGTGTCGTTCATGAACGAAACTTTAAAATGACATAACTCGGGACCAGGTGTTGAGACAGAACACCGCCGGTGTCGTGCCAAGGTACACTTTCTATCAGGGGTAAGTACCTTGGCACGACACCGGCACAAGAGTTGTGTCCGCGCACGCGCATGCGCATTGCGCAACAATTAGATTGAAAATATTCACAGTGATTCTTTTCTGGAAACAGAATGATTAGTTATCTCTTAGTCTTTTGGATCAGAGTCTTTCCTTCCTGTCAGTCCTAGAATAGAGGCTATGCTGTCAGTAGCCTACCTAAAGATAGGTTTGAGTCCTTCGTTCTTTTGTCACCGTAGCCTATTGAATAGACTAGCCTACTAATTCACAAACTTTTTACAAACAAGCGCGTAGTTAATGTAACCTAGAATATAATAGTAGTTAATTAATGTATAATATTTAATAAAACACTTCACAGATGCACAAGAAACATTTAGAAAAGAGACGGACAGGGACAATTATAAGATGGAACTTTTATTTTTCAGATAGGCTAATGTTTTGCACATATTTTGTATTTTAACTCCTAAATAAAACTATTTACATTCAGACGCAGTCAGTAATACAAATCTAATGTTGTATTTGATGCGAGATACCAGCCCTTACAAAAATAACCTACAGGAATCCTGCAGGAATATGCTGCTCATTTTCCTGAAGGAATACCTGCAGGAATTTCATGAAGGAAAACATGCAGGAATTATATCCCTGCAGGGTTTTAAAATATAATTTTCATATACCTGTAGGACTGTTGTGCAGGATATAGGCTATAGCCTATGCAATTATGCAGGACTTTGCAAGTAGTCTTCTGTTGGATTCATGCAGGGGAAATAACTTTACCACAAACAATGTATTATTACAATTTATTTATTTTATATATTGAAACTATCAGAGCAGAGAGAAGCAGAGTCCAATTCACATGCATGTTGTCAAATGTTGCTCTATTAGTTAAATGGAGCATCTGCACTGTTTTCCTGAAAAAAAGGGGGGGGGGCTTTAAAAAGTGTGTGTGTGTGTGTGAGAGAGAGAGAGAGAGAGAGAGAGAGAGAGAGAGCGTGAGAGAGCATGTGTGTGTGTGTGTGTGTGGTGTATGATAAATTATTACCTTACTTGTAACTTGTGCTCATCATTATACTTATTATATATGATAACATGATTACAATTTTGCACTGTAACTGCAACATCATGTTTGCGTAAAGAAAAAAATAAGGACATTTTACTTATGATCCTGGTCAAGAGCTGGATTTGCTATATAGTGTCTTTGTTAGTGTAAACCTTCCACCCGGGTCCAACTCGACCCGCTCCGAGCGGGTTTCGAACTCGGGTCTTTGACGTGAGAGTCGGGCGCTCTAACAAGGAGGCTAAAGACTGCAGCCTCTAGCTTCTGTCGCTAGAGCGCTTATTGAGATCAGGGGAGTGAGGTTTACTCGCACAGCAACTACTAGCTGGCCTCCGTTACACTAGCACTGCCAGCTCTTCCAGACAGCCCATGTGTGGCTAATGTGTCTCTCCCAAACACTGCCACCGCCAGATCTTTCACCATGACAGAACATAATGTGCCAACCCTGTCCACAACTTGTCAGGACATTTGTACTAATTCCTAGCCCATGTTTCTGTCAAGAAAAAAAAGAGGACACTATATCTAAAAGGATGTAATGTGAGTGTGCAAACGTGTGAGGCTTGTTAGATTCTTCTACAAAAAGGTGATATTTTGCTTTAGTGTGCCAGCTTTTATAGACAAGGGGGTAATCACTTCTACGACTTCTGCACAACACTATACGTGAATATAGGCTATATAAACAGACAAATTGTATTCACCTTTTCAGGCAGATTCTTCTGGCTTGAACTATTTTGTGGTTGTTTATTAACAGCTTACTGTAAGAGTGTCCGGGCTCATGCACTCAGGAACTCCCCTGATGCGAGAATATTTCTTTTTCAAAGTTAATCTTCTTTAGAATTGTGCTTCTTTATTGTCATAAGCTTGGCAATTATTTGTTCCTTTTTCAGCCAGTAAATATACAAATTTGAAAAGTATAGTAAATGCATACAACTAGTGGTCCAAGTAGCTGTATGTCTTACAGGGAAACGTTTCTACTGATGATGAGAATGAGGTCGTCAGTGATGCTGATGGGAACTTTTCAGATTCTGATGTAAGAAGAATTTTTGATTTTTCTTTTTATCCACTGTTTTTTGCATACATTTGTAAATATCTGTGTTCATATCTTTTGTTTTTAATGTGTTATAAATGCACAATTTCTGACAGGAAAGCTTTTCGGCTGATGACGAGGATAGTTCATTTTTGGAACTTGTGAACTTAGTTCAAAATTGTGAAGTATGAACTATGAAACTATGAAAATTTGTGGACTGAACTTGAACTAGTAAACTTTCCTAACCCTGCATGGCGTTTATTAGTCTCTAATACTGTTCATACCGAGGTTTACCACAGTCCGCCGGACCCAGGCCATATCCAGATCTGACAGTGGGTCAGCGCCTTGACACGACAACAACGCAGTCCTTTTCCCCTGTAGCCTACAGATAAAGACGTTGTTGGGATAATTCTGATTCGTGTGGCTACGCAGATCAATTTTTAAGACCAGAACAAGTAGTTTGTTGAGTTTTGATTTGTGAAGAAGGACTACACGCCTGCGCACATGACTTTGCGTTTTTGAGGTTTGCGCAGAAATAACAGATAATCATTTGCACCTTCAAACCTATTCTATTTCAGGGAGTGTGTTCTCGAGGTGAAGGTGACTTGACAAAAATGAATCAAAGAAAAAGTGCATTGAAAGTGCTGTACCTGACCGTATTCATGATAATACGTACAAGCCTGCTTAACCACAGTAATTATGCTACTGCAGTATACAACAATGTCAGTGATACAGTCCTCGTCTGCACCTGTCTGTCTTCGTCTGAACTACACTACCCAGAATCCTCCTTGTCTCCACACCTGAACACACTCCCTCACTTATTAGCCTGTTTATCGTTATCTTCATCAGTGTCACTTGTCTTCACCTTGTTATGTTTGATTTGTGCTTGTATTCAGGCCTTGTCCACACGGACACTAGCCTGGCATGCCAGACCTACATCAACTCATCATTGACAGGGCTCAATCCGAGGGGCGGGATAAACAGTTGTCTTTCAAATCCTCTCTGCACCCAATTGGATAGCGCTAAAACCAATCACAAATGGATTCTGGCTGCAGTCCCATGCGTTTTCCCAGCTGCGGAGCAAGTTGGTATATTAAACTTTTACCATATCCAGTCGGCAAAACTCCAATCTTTTTTTTTTAAATAACTCAAGTGCCGTTCTTATGGTTTCAAAGAAAAGCTTAAGTTCAAAACATCCAGAGTATAGCGGTCAAAGCCGAATCGAAAGCAGCAGCCATTCTTTGTTTTCAAGTAGCAGTGAACCATCGCAACTCTGGTCATTATGTTAAACCCGCCCGCCGACTCTATACACGGTGTGATTGGCCCGACCAGAGTTTGGTTTTTCCAGCTAATACGTCTATTGAGAGTTGCTAGACCACACTGGCTGTAAAATAATTTTTGCTGCCACTAGGGTGCATCTTGATTTCTAGGCTTCACGGACAAGGGTATTTTTAAAACCATTGCTGCGTCCCAATTCGCATACTATCCGTCCTAAATAGTATTCAAAAATAGAATTAGTGCGTCCCAAACCGTAGTATGTTGAAATGAGTGTTTCAAAGATACCCGGATGGCCGACTTTTTCCAGTCAGAATCCGAAGTGTAGATCGATGCACACTCTAACCGCCGATATTGCCCACAACCCTTTGCGCGTTAAACGAGGATTCGGTTAGAACTACAAAAACGAGTAAAAAGTGTTAAAAAACTACACCCACTAAACACTGGACGTCGGATAGACGTGCAGATCATGTCTATATTGGGTCCGTTGGTTCATGACCAATTCTGGACATCTATTCGACGTCCAAACTAGGTCCACTATTTGGACGTCCAACCATGACCCAATTTGGACGTCATGTTGACGTTCAACATTTGACCGTTGAACTGGGTCATTTTTTGGACCTCATTTGGACGTCTGTTACAGGTGCAGGAAATTTGCATGATTAATATGCAATATCTTTTTTTATTTACAAATATCAACATTGTTGTTATCAACATGATTAATACATATGAATACAGATTATTTATAATTATTTAAGATAGTTTTCCAAAAACTGCATTAATGCTGTAGCTCAAACAGTAGAGCGTTGGCACTTGTGGAACAGCCACTGAGTGGAATGCTTAGATCAAGGGTTTGATTCCCAGGGAAAGCAGGAATGTAAAAGTGCAATGTAAATCACTGTGGATAAAAGCATATGTGTCAAATGCATAAATATAAATACATGGTACAGATAACATCCTTTAAAAATGTTCTCTACCTTTTTGAAACATGGGACTACAGTTATAGAAGTTATAGAAGATACTAAATTTGATGTTGAAAAGACGTCCACTAACGACCACATTTGGTCCCACCGACGTCAAAACTAGACGTGCAAAAGACGTCGCCTGGCGTTACAAATGGACTCAAATTGGACGTCCAAAAATTACATAGAAAAGACGTCACTCTAACGTCACATTGCGCAGTGACACGGAGGACGCGTGAGTCCCGCGGTTATGTTGAGAGGTTTAGATAAAGTGATTAATTAACACTATCTGACCTAACGAAAATTTATTTATTCAATGTTCTCCACATTATTTTGCATCTGCAGCAGCATGAACTTTTGTAAGGACATACGTTTAGCCATTACTTTTTAAATGCATCATCATTATATTCAAATTGCAAAACACGAGGAAAGTATACACATAAAAGACCTTACTTTCAGCAAACATATTTAAAAAATGCCACATATGCCCCCCAAACTGCACTACTGTAGAGTAAAACGATAAAAAACAAAACAAAGTGATAGTAGGTATGCGTCTAAAAAACATGATTGTTACAAAATCATATTGTGTGGGGCATCTGGAAAACTCAGAACAGCTGTTTGCATAAAGTTAAATGTAAAAATTAACTGCCATTAAATTATAGTATCTATAGCCCACTATGGGATAAGATTAACTGTTCATTTCATTAGATTGCCTTTGTCTTTATCCCCTTCTTATTCAGTTTGAAGACTATAATGCTAATTTATGATGTTTCATGTTAATTGTCTTTTCTGAATTCCGATCCCGCTAAACCACGCGCCTTCAAATTACACCCAAATGATGAAATGAAAGAAAAGCCAAACAGGGTGGAGCTTACCTGGACTAGAAAGAAGGTTCCACCCATGACGAGCAGAGAGGGGGACCTGGACCTCGTGATCTCCAGGGTGCAGCCCTTCAGAACTTCAGCCCAATAGAAAAGACATTTCCACACCACAGCAGAGAGAACTTTTCCTTGACTTACCAAATCCAGAACTGTGAGACCAAAAAAAAAGGATTTTTCCACATTCTTTTTTACTTCTACTTTGTTATTCTTATTATTTAAACATGCTCTGTCTAGAAGTTGTGTAGCTAAATCACACTTTGGTTTTGTTTTTACTTTACGTGACTTATTTTCCAGTCATTGTTACATTTAGATGTGTTTACAGCATAATTATTTGCAAAAAGCACATAAATAGCTCTTTTTGCAATTTCACTTGTTTTACTGACTGCAGTGACAGACTCTTAAATGAATTTGTTACTGTCACACAAATCACTCTTGCATTATTTTCATATGCAATGTCCTATATACTCTACCTCTCATATGATACCATATCTCTACAGAGTTTTGAAGATATGTGACATTATTTCCAATGTGTCACATTTTTATTCAGTAAATAAAAAATTGCCAGATCTTATTGGTATAAATAATAATGGCAAGGTACCAGTGCAACAATTTTAATAAAACAGGTCACAGTCTGAGGCCCAAATGGCTTACATATTATGTTCGTATCTGTCCTGTCCTGAGAATCAGAAGCTTGTTACATACCTGGTTTGTTGAAGCTCATTGCCCAGCACAGGTGATCAGTATCCTCTCCTCAACTTCGACTGTTTTGACTATAGTGAGGTGAATATAGTGTTTAAAAGTGGGGGAACCAGAACCTGCTTTGAATTTCCGTTAGTAGCCACACCGGTCTGTCTAGACATGTTTGCTCTAGCTTAAGTTCACAAATAAGTTAGTTGTGATTTTGAAATCATATCATAAGGTAGTCTAACCTGGAAAGATTCACTGCTTGATTATTGGTTCATTTCATCCCAATTGTGACCCACACATATCATAGATTATGAGAGCACCAACTATAATGTCTCTGAAAATATTTATCTAGCCTACTTCATAATCCATCATAACTCTTAAAATTATTTCACTTTAATTTTCATTACTTCTCTTACATCTGTTGTTAGAACCTTTCTTAAAATTACTGTCACATGGCCTATTTACTATTACATTTACTATTATTTCTCTTGAGCATCGTCCCTTTTAACTCCCATAGTATCAAACGTTGCCCAAAACAAGATGTGGTTATTGTAGTTTCAGTTGCAGAGTGATTCAACCTTTATCCTGATTTGTAAATAAGACATATTATCGAAGACTGAAGATTATCAGCTTCTGTTCTTTGCTCTAAGTCACTAAACTACAGTATAAAACTGTCTCTGTGGGGCTTGTTGTCCCCACAGGAAGAAATACCGCCATGATGGTGGACAACCCCATGATTGCTGATGGCAGCAGCACATAATGTGACATTGTCACCACACTGCCCAGGAACACCAACAATGGCCCAGTGGCCAATCACATTACGGCCTCTCCTCTTTTTGGTGAGATTAAACCCAGCTTCATCCATGTACAGTACATGTATTCATGGGGTCTTTCCGTTGCATCCGTTTGAAAACCCCTCTGTAGAAATAGATATCATTTTGTAAGTGATACGGAAAAAGTGATTTAAGCCACTACAGTAAATGACTACCTAGAGTAATCAGCATTGAATGTGTCTGGATCCTGGAATCTTTGAGATCTTGAGTTGCGATCAAAGGGGACTCTGTATAGTTGTTTCATGCGCAGTATGTTGCACTTGAGGACACGATCAATAGTATAGACGAATCCGGCGAAACTACCGGAAGTAAGCGGGGCGCCATTACTGAGCTGTTGCTGGGTAGCGTTGCGCCATTGCCTCCTATTGTTTTAGTTGCAACTTGCGTCCACTGGAATAAACAGCCCGCGATTTACGACTGTCACTAACGTTACAACGTTACCCCTTGTATAATGTCGAGTGGGTAAACAGTTTCCAAATTGTTTCAATGGTGGCAGTAAAATTTCAATTTTGAAGAGAAAACACTGTGAAGAGAACAACTGGCCCCCGACTGAGCCTGGGTTCTCCCAGGGTTTTTTCTCCATCCAATCTGATGGAGTTTGGTTCCTTGCCACTGTCGCCTTGCTTTTGGCTTGCTTTGAGCTTGCTCAGTTGGGGTTATTTAGTGTTTAGCAATGTTGTTGATCTGTGTTGTGCTACTTTCATGTTATCACTGTGAAGCTGCTTTGATACAATCTGTATTGTGAAAAGCGCTATATAAATAAATGTGACTTGACTTGACTTGAATACCCCGGGTCGACTGCCCCTGTCTGGTGCCGTACGGTTTACAGATTTCCTGGGCGAGTACAAGACGTGGACATTCGCGTATAATAACAATTATTTAATGACATAAGTAAAAAAAATATAATAAATATGTGATATAGTGATCAGCAAAATCTCCTCTCTTGCTATTTGTTCTATTCAATTAACATGCTATGGTCATTAAATGGCTTTCCTGAGCTAAATGTAACGTTATGTGACATAATTGTTTTCCTGCTGTTATATTGACCTCTTTCCATGGCTTAAAAACACTAATTGGTCGATATTATGTATACTTTCAAGCTGTAACGTTACCTTACCCTTGCCTGTTGCAATGTGAAAATGAGATAAATAATGGACACAAATGAAAAACATGAATTTGTTTATTTGATTTCATTCATTTATTTATTTATTGTTGCCAAATGGACAGATCTTTTTATAGTTTCCTCGTTAGCAAACGTTAGCCTAGCTAGCTTGCCAAGCTATTTTCATAAATAACGTTAATCTGTAAGATCGTTTGTACCTTCATCTGTGACTGGAGGCCACTGCAGTCACAGATCAAACCAACAAGTCATTCTGCCTGGCTGTAGCTGTCATCGAGGGTGAGTTCACGTTATCACCGAGGTTTGTTTACATACCGGTGCATATGTCTATGCCTGTGTAACAGCTCAGTAATGGCGTCGCCACAAGATGGCAGCCTACACAGAACGCTCGTCGGATTCGTCTATAGAGGCTGACACTGTTGATACCCTCAATTTACATGGTCCTCAATGATCTTCTGCTGAATTTCACTCAGTTTGGCATTGTTCTCACGGACAATATCAACAATAAAGGTCTCTTGGTGTGGGGAGAGCATAGGCCTACCTGTCCGGCTGCTTGTCTTCTACTCCCACGTTCATCCTAGATCTTGTTGTTCCTGTTGCTACTTGGCCCTGCTCCTGAAATGAGCTCTGGTCCCTGAACACAGACACAGTTCAAAGCTTTTACATACAACAGAAAAAAATCATTTTTTTTTTTTTTTTACATTGAGAGTGGTAAACTGTAACAGGATAAAATGTTTCTGTTCTGGGTTCATTCTGACGCAGGTGAACCCAAATTGCTTTGTGTACTTTGCCATTGCTGCTGTACTGATCTTCAACGTCCACATAATTATTTCTTACAAAGTGCTTATGATGAGTGTATTTCTAATATTTATTCAGCAGAGTGTGAGAATCCAAACGCAGTTTATTAAACAAATATAGTCCTTGATGATGGTCCATATAACAGGGAGAGGGTCACACACACATAATCAGTCTGATAATAACAAATACATTCCACAGAGGCAGGAAACAAGAAATCCCAAACTCAGGAACAGATAAATATAAAGAAAACAGGAACTGCTCAAAATGCTGAAGAGAGCGTCAAACAAAACAAACAAACAAGACTTCATACTGAGTGAAGGCAAAGGCATTTCAATATAGACAGAATGACGATCAAATGAAACCAGACACAGCTGAAACAGATTGAAATGAAGTCTGAGAATAACAGAGTCTAATAGAAACAGCGAGGGACTAGGCTGACATCTGTTGGTACATGTTGGCACCCGCAGCTGGATCTCTGACCATCACAAACACCAGATTCAGTGACTCTGGATATTATAGAATTTCTATCAGCAGATCCAGAAGAACCTTGCGGGAGATATTCATGATTATTGTAGATGGTGAGTTAAATATCACTGTCACATTGCCTTTTACCCTTTATTTTGTTGTGTCTTTTAATTGTTGACTTTTGTTTGAATGCAGCTGTTTCATCATCACTACAATCACACAAAGTGAATGTTACAACTAAGCCGCAAGTGTACAATGGTAATCAAATGAAAACAGGGAGACACACAACTTTTCAGGTTTGAGTATTATTTATACATTTAACTTTGTTGGACTTTCACAAACAATGTTGGAATTTAAAATGTTTCAAATTTAGTTTACTATGCTTTGATCACTTGTTTATGTCCTGTTTTTAATGCAATAGACCTTTTAAATTTAGATTTTAAACTCATTTGTATTATTATTACTGTTTATTAATAATAATAATAATAATTTTACATGCAGCTGCCACACACAAATCTAATTCAATTGCAATTACAATATTTTGTGATTTTATTTATTATTATTTATTGCAAAACTGTGCAGCCCTTTTCTATGTCTCTATCCATGATATTGATCCAAAATTTGTAGAAGGATGATTGGATGAGGGATGGATGGATATCTATCTATACAGATGCACAAACAATATCAAACTATACAAAAATAAAATAGTACTGAATTATGTGTGTTACACACAAGTGTTACAACTAACCCCTCTGTCTGTTACAATTAAGCCCGCATATGGGGTAAGTTGTAACATTTGCACTTCTGTCACTTTCAGCGCAACAGTACGAACATGGAAGGTCCTAGAAAAAAACTTTAAGTGTTCATTTGTAGCAGAGATGTGCAAGTTGCTTGTGTAAAAAAACGTTGAATCTAACTTAATAATTTTTTTAATAATTGAGCAAAAACCAAAATGTGTTAGTTGTGCCTTGCTCTCCATACAACTAAATGCATAAGAACAATTGAAAATACATATAAGTTACATTTCAGCTGTAAAAGGTCAAATTGAAACAGCAACAACCTCCATCCACTTACGATGTATTGCTTACTGGATACTGTAATAAATAAATAAATAGAAATCAGAAATTAGTGTAAAAAGTTACAACTAGTTGGTTTTCCAAGACAAAAGTAGTGCAGATCTAAGCAAACACTATAGACCATTTCGCGAGATGTAAACAACACTGGTCCAGAAGCACTTCCTGTTTCAGTTTTTTAACACTACATTAAAGCTGGGATAAAATACAACCAACAGAACATTTAAAACTGAATCAAAAAGTTAAACAAACATCTTAAGATGTTTTCTTTACATGTGAAATAAAGAAAACAGTTACAAACTGAAACAGTGTTTCTGGACCAGTGTTGTTTACATCTTGTGAAATGGTCTATAGACTTGCAACATAAACATCCAATGACTAATTTCTACCAGCAGAGGACAGTATCACAGCAGTAATGAACGGCCGTCAGTCTTCAACTTGGACAACCAAACATGCTCTCTGAGGTCTAGTTGTGATTTAAAGCAGTGGAGTGTGTCTGTGTGAGAATAAAATGTTTTCTCAACCATCTAAACCTCAGAGTGTGAAAGATTCGCTCACAGTTTTAATAGCAGTTTTCTGTTGAAGTTGTAAAAGTCAAAATGATTTCCTCTCATCTGTGTGTTCTGTTCCTGTTCGGCCTGTGCCATGAGTAAATAAAAATTACTTTTATATTTTATGCACTTTTTATCAGTTTGTTTAATAGACAAAATAGATGTAAATAACATAATTTTGTGTCTCTAGAAAACTTTTCTGATCTTCAGGTGTGTTTGGGGATTCAAAAGAAATGTCAGTATCAGTGACTGAAAAAAGATTCTGTCAAACTGATATTAACGTACAGAGAAATGATCAGATATGTTGAATGTTTGGACCCATTGACACTCGTATTGCTGAAATACACAGACAAAACATTTATAGATGACACTGAAATATTTGAGAAAAGACTCCAGATGGACAATCACACTGGATCTCTGACCATCACAAACATCAGGTCTGAACACACTGGACTTTATAAACTACAGATCATTTGATCTATTGACTTCCATAGTAGGAAAAAAATATAAGTCAATGAGACCAGAAACTATCTGGTTACTGATATTTTTCTAAATGAATGATATTTTGATTCTAAATTATGATATTTTTCTAAATGAATTCGGCTGAATGGACTCGAAAACGGTAAAACTCAACTGTTTAACTCTGGGGGAGTCGTAAAATGAGCCTATTTCCAAAAAAGTCCCTTTAACATACTCAAATAACCTCCTTTCTGAAACAGGCCCCAGAAAAACAAAAAACAAAAATAATCTCAGTCTCAGTCTCTGAAGAAAAAAAAAAAAAATCGTGACAATGTTCAGGTACGACTAGTTTACAACGGCAAGAAGTGTTTTTCTTTACAATACGAAGTGAAGTTCACACTAATGTTTCCATGTTTTACTGTTTCTTTCCTCAGACTCACTAAAGCTGTGATCTGATTGGTCATCTCTGCTCTGGTGGCCAAATGGTATTCAGTGAACACCAGGGGGCAATGTTTTCAAATCTAATCCAATCACATTAAATATGTGCATTACATATATTTTAAATATTGAATGTCACGGAAACAATTCTTATTGGGGGGGGGGGGGGGGGTTGTGGTCAGACAATGACAGTCAGTTGATCACATGCTATTTCTGCATGCACCTCGCTGTAACTACAAATAAACAACAGGTTTAATTGGATAAAGTAACTGAGACAGATTTACATAATAATAAAATGCAAAATAATTACAACAAACTAATGTTATCAGACAGATGGCTTTCAATGGAGATTGAAACTAATGTTTGGAATGAGCGTGATCATATAATCCTGCAAATAAACATCTGCCATCATGCTCCACCCGCCTCCACCTTCATCTCCATTTCATTAGCCTTTCATTAAAGCTCGAGTCAGGACTCTTGCTAAACAGCCTGAACAGCAAGTTAAATATGTTTCCTCACTAAAGGATTATATAAACATGGAAACTCCTGATGCCTACTTTCTATATTTTGTAAATTTAAAAATAGTTTGTTATGAGTGAATACACAACATCCCCTCTGTCATTGTGAATAAAATGATGAAACGAGTCTCATAGAATAACTTCCCACTTTTATTTTAACTTCACTTTTGTTCCAACGAGTCAGCTTTATAAAAGGAGATCATTATAGAGCCTTGTCTGTCCCTTACAGATTTGTTTAAATTTGTTTAAATTCAAATATGGTTTTCCCCTGGCTAAGGTCTGAAAAAACTTCCCTCGTGGGCATGTATCTGACATTAACATGTTCTCTTTGATACACCCTTCCCGACACAGAGCATCTACTGTACACAGACGGCAGGTGGGCCATTGTTTTGTGATGCGTTCTATTTGTATAAAAAAATAATAATAATAATAATTCATGTCACTTAAGATCTCATGAAAAATCTTTCAAATATTCAAATAAAACCCCAACAGCATCATTCTACTGTATAATCTGTTTTTAAAAATGGTTTGACTATTTATTTTTCATTGATGATTCTCCAGTGGCAGTATATTTATTTCAAACATTGTCTAAAAGACTATGACTACAGGGAGAAAAATCCCCAGAGATTTTTCTTTTGGTTTTAATATTGACAAAACATCAACCGGAGTCAGTGCTTATGGAAATAAAGAGTCTAAGAATGTTTTTCAGTGGCGTTCCATTTTTTAATAAAACAGAACGCATCACAATACAATGGCCCACCTGCCGTCTGTGTACAGTACAGATGATCTGTGGGGGGAAGGGCATGTTTCAAAAAGTCCTTTTCATGTTAATGTCTAACCCTATGCCCACAAGGGAATTCACAGTACCCGTTAAAGAGAAGACAAAAAGTACCCGGATGAGCGAGTTCTTGTGGCGAGACTCTGGAGTGTGCGTATGATGGACTATATAGATAACTATATGGTACTGTGTGCAGTCTGTCACGCCCACTGGAGTTTCATCAATAGCTGAGCAGAGCTGAACACCTCTGATGTAAACTAACCCTGAACACCTTGAAGTAAACTAATCCTGGAGCATTACATACCGTGAAAGATACCTGCTTTCTGGAATATCCCCTTTTAGCTCATCTTTCTCATCCATTATCTTGTTAGTCATCATGTCACATCATGTGTATTAAGCTTAGTGTTTGGTTCAGGTTGGTGTCTGTTATTGCTGTGTTTAACCGGTTGTTCTGTTCACGTTTTGGAATTTATGAGAAACCTGAGTATTTTGGCTAGTTTGATTTTGTTTTCAATAAACACTGCTGTACTTGGATACAGTTTTATCCATCCTCGCTGCCGACGGGGACAGATCACATGATAATGACAACATGGCAAATGTGGTGCGTCCGGATTACATTCATAATGCACAGACATTCTAGAAAACAAACTGCCTAAAGTATTCAGGCAAGCAGAAGAGCTCAGAGTATGAACACAATACACCAAATGCCATTTTTTATGGTTTTCTATTGAAAAATATTTAACGTGAATGTGTTGCATTTATATTCTGGTCATTAATTAGGTGTATAGCCTACTGAATTTGCTTTTTTGATGTTACTGTCTTGCTACATTACTACGTACAATATCTGGCAAAAATGATTGGTGGACAATGGAGGAAAGTTGAAAATTACAGGCATAAAATAAAAAAGATTTAAGAATGACCCAGTTATGTGATGGGATAATGTTATTTTTTGATTTGTTTGTTTAGTTGTCCTGACATGATTTATTTGACCCGAGTTGTTAAAATGTTTTCACAGGATGTGGTGTATAAACAAGTGAAAGGGGCGATGCAAACATTCACAGCCCACAGACCTGAGTTTCCATCCTCAAAGTAAAGCGATGCTAATTCACACACTTAATCAACTATCATATCATTTAGATGTCTTTGTTTTTATATATAACACTAATTACCATGAAGTTTTATTACTTAGGTCTACATTATTGCCAAATTCATAAAAATATTAAATAAAAAATATATCTAGCATCACTGTTGATGTGTTATACTATATTAAAGTTGGCACAAAAATCAAAATTGACATTTGTTTTTTGTTTTTGTTTTTCTGAAATTGACCATTTGGGAGCCGATGTCACAGTGTCTTCACTGCAGTTGTGTGTGCATTGTGGAGACAGAAAAGCAGTGGTAACATGTGGAAGAAAAAAGGCGAGATCCACGGAATAAGAGAAGAGAAGAAGGTCTTGTTGTGCCTTTGGGTCTTCATTTTGTGAGCTGAGTCAGTTTTGCTATGCCCAATGTGGCAGTGCAAAGACAAAGAGGGCAGTGTGAAAGGCACTTCTTCATCATGGCAGAGTGGATATGTGCACCTCATAGTGTCGTCTCAGATGCAGTGAAGAGTTCCCATGAAAGGGAATGTCTCAGGTTACGGATGTAATCATGTTTCCCTGAGAAGAGTAATGAGCATCTCGCGGTCATGCCTCGAGCCTGTCTGATCGTCTGACGTATAAAGCAGGCGCAACTCAAACATTTAAGGAGAGTTGTCTTGTTTTATGTTAGATGACTGTCATGGCTGAGATGTTCTGAGTCTTATGATGCTTTTGTTAAAGAGTGTGTCAGCAGATTTAGGCCTGTATGCAAAACCCACAGCATTATTATGCTAGAGTTGAGGGAAACAGCCTACACATTGATGATTCAGGAGTTCAAAATTAGACACTGCAGATTTTACTGTAAACTGTTATGTATTTGTAGTGATGTTGACAAAATGTTATCTGTTTATACCAACATGGAGCCAGTTACTGGTATTAAGATGCTTTTCTCTGACATTAATTCAGCAATAATGTTTTAAACATTGCTGTAGTTGTCACGGTCACCCACTAGTCACATGTCTTCTTTGTGCTGTTTTCCCGCCTCTCATCTGTTTCCTTGGTGGCCGTCCAAAGTCTCATCCCACCGAGACCGCCAGAGACTGTTCACGTCATGCCTGTCGAGCCAGAGACTGTTCACAGCTGGTCAGCCTCCACTGAACCCTCACCTACAGCCAAGATGGCTGCCTCACCACCTGAACCTTCACAGCCTATCCCTGAGCCTGTGCCCATAGCTGTCCCTGATGCTCAGGGGTTATACTGTACATCCTTTGTGCATCCATAATGGCCAGACCCTCTCCTGAAGGGTCAACTCCACCATGACCGCCCGAAGGGTCGTCTCCGCCATGACCGCCCGAAGGGTCGTCTCCGCCATGACCGGACGAAAGGTCATCTCCGCCATGACCGGATGAAAGGTCATCTCCGCCATGACCGGACGAAAGGTCATCTCCGCCATGACCGGATGAAGGGTCGTCTCCGCCATGACCGGATTAAAGGTCATCTCCGCCATGACCAGATGAAGGGTCGTCTCCGCCATGACCGGACGAAAGGTCATCTCCGCCATGACCAGATGAAGGGTCGTCTCCGCCATGACCGGATTAAAGGTCATCTCCGCCATGACTGCCAGAGGGTCGTCTCCACCATGACCGCACGAAGGGTCGTCTCCGCCATGACCGAACGAAGGGTCATCTCCGCCATGACCGGATGAAAGGTCGTCTCCGCCATGACCGGACAAAAGGTCATCTCCGCCATGACCGGATGAAGGGTCGTCTCCGCCATGACCGGATGAAGGGTCGTCTCCGCCATGACCGGATTAAAGGTCATCTCCGCCATGACTGCCAGAGGGTCGTCTCCACCATGACCGCACGAAGGGTCGTCTCCGCCATGACCGAACGAAGGGTCATCTCCGCCATGACCGGACGAAAGGTCGTCTCCGCCATGACCGGACAAAAGGTCATCTCCGCCATGACCGGATGAAGGGTCGTCTCCGCCATGACCGGACAAAAGGTCGTCTCCGCCATGACCGGATGAAGGGTCGTCTCCGCCATGACCGGACAAAAGGTCGTCTCCGCCATGACCGGATTAAAGGTCATCTCCACCTTGACCGCACAAAGGGTCGTCTCCGCCATGACCGAACGAAGGGTCGTCTCCGCCATAACCGAACGAAGGGTCATCTCCGCCATGGCCCGCTGAGGGTCATCTCTGCCAGGGCCCCCTGGTTTCTGTTAATCTGTGTTCATCAGTGTTTGCATTTAGGTCCCTCTGTTCATCTAGTCCTTGTCCGATCTACTTTCTATCAAGTGTGTATGAACCTTCTGCCCGTCTGTAGCTGTGTTAGTCGTATTTGTAAGTAAACACTTTGCTATTGGAACGTCTGACTCGTCTGCTTCTTCTGCCTGCACCACACCATGACCATATTCAATGAGAACAGTGGGAGTATTCATTTATAATTTTAATATTTTACTTATAGATAATAATCAGTTATACTATTATTTTTTGTAGATTAAGTGATTTCTACAATAATCTCTTGCTAGATTTTATAGCTAAATTCATGCTGATCTTTCACATGCCTGTGACAAAAAAGCAAGCACAAATGTAGGCACATGCAAACGCAAACTGACATCTGATCTCATCTATGCAAATGCATATGTCGGCCATTGGAAAAAAAATATTTCATTGTGTGCTGTTGCATTTGTGCAATTCTGCACGGAGCCTCAGATTTGTTTATGTTGTTTTTCTGCAAACAAGAAAGATGTTCTTCATGCACCTTGACATACTTTCCAGCTGGGTTTCTTGAGTCAAAGCGAGACGTGCTGTGGTCTATGCAGGCTATTGGTTCGAGGCTATTTTTGTGGTAGGTGTGCTGTAAACGCTTACGTGTGTGTGGGTGGGTTAGTGGGTTTAGTTGAAGGGCAGCTTGTCCATAAACTTCAACCGAGTAAACAGCCTTACAGCAAACTGATGTTGTGAGTTAAAATACACATACCGCCTGGAGCCACATCAGTTTTGCAGGTCAAGATGATCAACCTTGATGCAGAACTAGCTGAAACTGTGTCAATTCTTCAAATACCAGCATCTGATAACCTGAAAAAAAGTAACACAAAACAAATAATTCTGTCAACAAAACTTTTAAAGCTTTAAAAAAGTTACAGCACAAACAAGCTTATATCAATATTTGTCATCTGGACCCTTGCTATTGATTCACTTTACATTAGACACATCCTGATATGAGACTCAACTACAATTCATAGATGTATTTAATGCAGATATTATAGCAAAGAAATGTAAAGCTACAGGAAATATGGTCATATCTGGACATCTGCACCTCCTCAAGTGTGAAAACAATGCCTCGAAAGTGTGAAGCGAGGGTTTGTAAAGGTAAATGTGTTTAATTGCATTTTGTGGTTGCTGGCTTCCGTGTTCTTTCACAAGATGGCCTTTAATGTAGTCTTTAAATATCGCTCTCTTTAAATAGCCTATCGCCATATCTCTTTAAAATAAAAATTGGCCACACAAAAAATATTCTCTTTATATTCTACATAATGCTGTTGTTATAGCTACTATAATAAAAAAAATATATAGGCTATATATTTATCTAGATAACAGACCTATGTCTCATATTTTATCAACGTTTCCTCCAGACACCTGCGCACCTGTAAAACCTCTGATAGATACTGATAGATCTCTTTATCATTTCAAACGGATTTTTAATGTCTTCCCCAGAAACCCTGTAATAAAACCTTGGACTCGAAACAATTAGGCTACCTGCAAAAGAAATTATTGATTGTGAACAAACAAATGTATTTCTGGGCTTCACTTAAACGTTTTTTAAATGATTAAAAAAAGAAAGAAAAGAAAACCGAAAGAAGAACAATCTGCGTGCATTTAGCCTAATTATTTTTCGGAGTGAGCTGCTATACGTAGACATCTACTTCGGCAAAACACACGGCACATATCCAAAGGGTAAAATTTCTTAGTAGATGTATCCTAATTCCGAATAGTTTTGTAATGTTTTATTTGGTACAGGCTACACCTACTTCATAGAGGAGGGGACTCATAAACGTTCAGTTGAACCAAAGCGCACAATCAATGATCGACACTGCCTGATATGTTTTTTTTTTTCTTTTCTTTTTTTTTCTGCGACGTTTTCAGACCTAGATTGTTTTCAGACGTGATGCGTTTTATGCTTCGAGGCTGTTTGGAATATTAACAAATACGATGGTTCATCGATTTGTCTGTTTATGTATATGGCTTTTGGGCGGTAAGTTATATTTTTATGGATTAAATTCTTGTAGTATAGTTTACAGTCGATTATATCCTCACAGTTTGACTGTCAAAACAAAAAACAAAACGTTGACCCTGAAATGTTAAAGGAGTTCACTCAAAAAGAAAAAAGAAAATGGCTTGCAATTTTACTTCCATATGGCTATTATCAAGTGCAATTTACAATATGTTAAAATAAAAACTAGCCTATTAATATAGAACGTTATATTTGATCACTTTTAGAAGTAGTTTTACAACAAAACAAAACAAAAATGTAGGCTACATTTGAATCATTTGCTTTATGACCTGTATGTGGAACTCAAAAGAAAATATTGTGTAGTTTCCTTCTTTTTTTACATTCAACAACAAAAGTGATTCGTCACCAAAGAGAGACTACATTTAACAACCAGAATGTAATCATGACAGTATAGCCTATGTCTGGGTCAACAATAGTGCATCTGACCGATTTCTAATATAGCCTATTCAAACTTGCTTTGAATATAATTGTAAATGTTTAAACAAACATTTCAAGTTATTTCATAGGGGGAAAAAAACTTTTTCCTATAGTTATAGTCTAGGGTATTATTTATGATTTTCTGTCAGTTTCATTCAACCTTAAACCTCTTGCAGATTTAATGCTGACACAGCAGCAACCCTTGCCGAACCCTGACTCGAAACAAATCTCAAGCCCACCAACTGTACAACATGGTAAGTGTAAAGTCTGACTTGGGCTTTGGAAGGCTTTTATTGGGAAAATCCTCGTGTTGTTCACGTAACACAACGTTTGGGATTTAAACCACAAAGGCTTTCAATTATTAAAACACAGAATGACATTTTTTTGTGCTTCACAGATGAAAATCAATGGTTAGGAACGACATGATAGTGAATACATTATGACAAAATTAAAACTGTCCCTTTAATGATATAATCTTAGTTTAGTGGTGCTGCTCAGTGTCAGACATGTAATATCAGAATGAAGCTTGTTTTACATTTTCGGAGTGTTTTATAGTACACTTTCTTATACACGCAAAAGCTATAGAGGCTGTCTGCTTCATGCAACAAAGCGATCGTTGTAGCGTATCTATTTGTTCTCTGTGTCAGAAATAGCGAAAGTGCGTCAGAAATAGAACTAGACATCAGTTTCCTGGCAGGATTGTCATGTCGTGGCACATCCAGTGTAAAAAAAAATCACTTAACCCTATTTTAAAGGGCTCTATTGGCTTTTGTCTGTGTCAGGATTAAGAAATTATAATGGAGTTTAATGTTCTGTCAAATAAACAAAAGATATCTGAGGTGATAATCTGTCTATGTCGTGCTGACTCTTTTCTTCGTCTGGTATTTATACAGATGAAACTGAGACGAAATCAGTGATGGAGGGAGATTCTGTCACTTTACACACTGGTGTCACTGAAATACAGAGAGATGAACATATTCTGTGGACATTTAGACCTCACGATTCAGAGACTCGTATCGCTGAAATCTATAAACAGATCATCTCTATGTATGATAGTGGTGATAATAAGAGATTCAGAGACAGATTACAGATAGATGAGAAAACAGGATCTCTGACCATCACAAACATCAACAAATTACACTCTGGACTTTACAAAGTACAGGTCATCAGTGAAAAGGTCAAACACATGAGCTTCAATATTGCTGTCTATGGTGAGTAAACTGAATAAGTTTAAAGGTTTTAATTTTAAATCAAATGCAGATCTGACCATCTGGATGTGCACTTTTATTTATTATTGATCTGATGATTGATCTATCAGTAATTGCTTGTTCCTGAAATATGTTTTTCTTTCATGTTTTTAAGGTATTCTGACAGTTCCTGTCATTATCAGAGACTCATCATCATCATCATCAAATTGTTCACTGGTGTGTTCAGCTGTGAATGTGAGTGATGTGACTCTCTCCTGGTATAAAGGAATGAGTGTATTGTCCAGCATCAGTGCGTCTGATCTCAGCATCAGTCTCTCTCTACCTCTGGAGATTCAGTGTCTGGATGATTCATACAGATGTGTAGTGAACAATCCCATCAGTAATCAGACCACACATCTGGACAACATCAGTCAACTCTGTCACACATGTGAAGGTACGTCAGTGTCAGGGGGGTTCATACTGGGCAGTGGGCACGTTTACTGTCTATAATTTTAGAGTTAAATTTAGAGTCCATAATCGGACTTGTTAATAATATCATGCTGTTTTATCTCTCAAACGTTTTATAATGCGTGTTCAGCACACATATTTGAGCATTTTGACTAATTGTCCTTTTAAATTCTTGAAAAACAACATAGTTTTTAGTCAAATCCTGATTAAATCATGAGAGTAAAAATCCTTAATAAAATATTTGTGAGAGAGCAAGCCAGAACCCGACTGCCAGCTTTTATAACTGTGCACAACAGTGAAACAAATTAGAAGTTTCTACGTGGATCCGTTGAGTGCCGGTAGAATGCTTCAATCCAGGTACTAGCCTAATTTAGCTATTTAGCTAATAACATGTTGGCTAATAGAAACTAAATAATAGCCAACATGTAATATTATTTCTGAATACAACGCCTTTACTTATTATTTTTTTATTTTCCTGATGAAATGTTTCGTAATGTAAAACAGTAAAGGGTGCATATTTAACAAAGTTTTTCCAACTGCTGTCAGTATTATTTATGTCTGTGATGTGGTCATTGATGTGACAGATGATTTGAGTTTTGTTGTAAGCAGATTTGTTCTTTTATACTTGATATTTTACGCTGTAGGAGTTGCTGGCAAATGTCTATATTTTTTTTTTTTAATTATTAAATAAATTAAATTAACAGTGAAACAAATTAATGCATTTGAGACGGTTTCACAGCACATCCTTTGAAGGTTACGTTGTACATTACCTATAAATTACTGATAAATTCATTTTATTATAATTCTTGTTTTGTAGAAAGGCTGATACAGCAAGTGAGTTATTGATGGATGCATCCCAGTGAACAAAGTTCCCACAACTTCTCTTACACTCATATTTTGTAAAAGGTTTTGTGAGTAACAATACGGTTAGGAGACAATGTACTATAGCATTGGTTAACCTTTTAAATAACGTTCAAATCAGAGCAAGAAATTTAGTATTTCAGAAACTTTGTAAATCCCTGTTACCACAATGTTAATCAAACATAAATTTGTTAGCTGGGAAATAGCTTATATTTAATTTGGAGGTGAACATTGAGCAAGATTTGGAATAATTAATTGTTTACAGAAAATATTTGTATTCTGTTAATCACAAATAATGTAAAGATTAATTGATTATCAAAATAACTCTTGTATTCATTAAGATTTTTTTTCAATCAGATCTGCTGTTTTTATCTTTGTTGAGAATCTCTAACAATATGTTATTGACTGTGTGTTTTATCATTATAGAAATCAGCCAAACTCTATTTCCACTTATATTGCTGCTGTTGCCGTTGTTGTTGCTGCTGGTCGTCGCAGGTTTAGTCGTGTTTTTCTTCTGTCGCCGCAGGAAATACACACAAGCAAAAAAAGACGGCAAGTATTATATACAAAAGGAAAATGTATGTTTTATTGCAAAAGTAGTTCTTTGAAACGCCAACAAAGCCTGTCCCGCCATTTTAATATTGTAAATGTTTTTTTTGTAATTTTGTTAATGATCATTAAACAGCTGAGACTAATGAAGAAGAGGTTGATTATACTGATGCAACATTCATTAAACACAGACCTCCGGATACGGTAAGATACGGTTGTTATTCTCTGCACTACATCTCTGATGAAAGCTAAAACTGTTTATTTGTTTCTCTACTTGTTTTTTATATGCATGTTGTTGTATAACTAAACACTTAAAAAAAATCAGTATTTAATGATTAATAAGTGCTTGCTTGTTTTCTTTTGTGAATTGAGTAATAAAATCATTAAAAGTGCATTTCATTACAGGAGGCTGGTGGACGGGATCAGACGGTGTATTCAGAAGTTGTTTTAAGATGATGATCATTCACATTATTATCATACAGATCAGTTTATGCTCAGGTTTATGTCAGTAGCAAAGCTCAAAACCTCAAAGTTAAGCAAAAATGCACTGATTGCAGCTCTGCTTGCTACAAAGGACTGAATTTAAGCATTTTATTTTAAGCAATTTCTAAAAGAATTTAACATTTGTTAATAAAGACCACGTTTGTAGGCAAATACACAAAGGAAATGCAACTTTTTAGGGATTTTCAGGGACTCTCGCACGTCAAATGAAATGGGTTCAGTCCTGTGTGTGTGTGTTAATGGCTCCCTCTGCCGACTGTTTGAGACTGTTACATGAATCATGTTTTAACAGCGTTGGCTGGTTGGTTAAGTTAGCTCCTGATAAAACCATACACTGTGTGTGGGACAAAAAGCATTTCATAAGTTTTAAATGGCGGCCTTTGACTGAATTATTTAAAAACTCCTAAACTTATAAAGACAAGATGCTTAAACAGGGCATTTATAATTTATTGCTGCCTATTAGCAAAAATATCAGTTCAAGATGATAATGTCAGATTCTTTTGTATTATTTATAATTTAGCTATGTGTAAACTGTAGGAATTTACACATTAACATTGTAATGTAATAAAATCGACAAGCAAGAAGTTTCTACGTCGATCCGTTGAGTGCCGGTAGAATGCTTCAAAGGTACTAGCCTAATTTAGCTATTTAGCTAATAACATGTTGGCTAATAGAAACTAAATAATAGCCAAAATGTAATATTATTTCTGAATACAACGCCTTTACTTATTATTATTTTTATTTTCCTGATGAAATGTTTCGTAATGTAAAACAGTAAATGGTGCATATTTAACAAAGTTTTTCCAACTGTTGTCAGTATTATTTATGTCTGTGATGTGGTCATTGATGTGACAGATGATTTGAGTTTTGTTGTAAGCAGATTTGTTCTTTTATACTTGATATTTTACGCTGTAGGAGTTGCTGGCAAATGTCTTTTTTTTTTATTATTAAATATTCTCTCTCTGCACTGATTATTTTTGACTGTTTATGCTAAAGTATGTTTTTGCTCAGATGTATATTAATGGTGAAATTAAACATTGTTTATTTTCAGCCATATTGGATCCTGTTGAATATTAAATAACATGTGCTTGAAGCTGTTTCACAGTATGTGGACTGTGTGTCAAGGACTTGACGCCTACTACCAATTTTTCCTATTATAATGTAATCATTATGGATCACAACTTGTAATAATTGCTTCAATGATCTCAAATTAATACATGATTTGAGCTAAACGCATGATCTAATGTTTTAGAACTGTTAATTTCTGAAATATGGACTTTATTTGGACACACTCACTCTATAACAGATCACGAAACATGCATTTTCTGTAAAGCTGATATGATATTGTGAAAAGTGCTGTAGCCTACAAATAAATGTGGATTTTTTTATTAGTGAGAAATGTAAAACATTCAAATTTTTCTAGACTTGTTTAAATGTACGTGACATATTTTATGTCAGTTTCTAAAATTTGATCAGTTAATTCAATTAGAATATCAAGACACTATAGTATTGTCATCAGTTAAATGAACAAAATCAAGATTGCACAGCAGAGGTACATGAAGCTGCATCTGAAATGGAAATATGTTTGTTTAACGAGGATTAAAGGTATAAATTTACACTGAATAAACAATTGAGTCAATAATGTTATGAGATTGTTGTTTTAAATATAACATTTTGAACATAAAAATGTGAAGTGATGATGACTAATATAATGGGGACGTTACGGGGAGTCTCAGGACAAAAAAAGGAAACTCAGAAAAAAAGAAAGTTAAGATTTCTCTAAGGAATCATAAGGCATATATATATGTTACGTGTGACCCAGTGCCAGTATTGAATGTGTTTAATCATCGTGATAGTGGCTCAATCTACTGACTGGTTGAGGAATTGAGTTCATAGGTTTGGCTGGTTATACTGGTTAAATCAGACCTGACATTATTATGAATTCATATTCACTGTGTAACTCTTTTAGTTTATTATTAGCTAAAAAACTTAGTTCTTTCAAAAATATATGTGCTCATTAATGTATATTAACTTCGTTCAAGTAATAAAGTATTCTCGTGAGTGAATAATATGCCATTGAAAATACGTACGGGTCAGTCGCCATGTTGCCCCTCCATCTTGAAAGTACATTAGCCAAAGAGGGACATACCCGTTAATTCAAGCTTCGCCTTTCGCGTTTACGTTTGAGTTAACACTCATGGACGAGGTCGGACTGGAAGCCATGTTAGTCTTGGACTATATTGGCCACCGTAGGAAGTGGCCGTGGCGCGCATAGTCCATTGAGAGGAAAAAAAACTAATATTCATTTGATGGTCATAAACCTTTTCACCACTAGATGGGGGTAAAAATCACACAGTGTAGCTCATTCTGAAGCATATGTGAAAGTGACATTTATCAATGTTTAGTGATATTTTCTTAAGAATAATGTTTCTTTAATGTATGTGACATAATGTAGTTAGATATAATATTCCACAAACAGGTATGAGTTAATTTCTCCCGACCTTCAAGTTCAAGTTAATGCATGTGAGCTTATACTCTTGGAAAGAGAATAATAGTTGTAAAAAATAAACATCTTGTTAAATCTCATAGATTGTACTACAATGAATTAGACACAAAACAGGAAGAGTTATTATATTATTAATAATAATATTATTAGCTCCCGTTGAAGCCACTATAGAATTCAATGTTGAAATCTATAACAAACTTGTCACATCCAGTAACTCCTTTTCACCAGCAGAGGTCAGTATCCCAACACTAATAAATGACCGCCAGTCTTCAACTGTCTCTGGATGTTCAGACTTGCTCTCTGAGCTCAATATAGAAGAGAGCAGAGCACAACCTAACACATAATAATAATAATGATACATTTCTGAACATTGACTATCAGTCTTTATTCAACTTTTTTCATGGTATCTTAACAGAATTCATAAAAGTTTAGAATAATAGGGAACATAATTATTGCACAAGTGAGAATTAATAGTGTCTTCTGCTAGTTAGATCAACATTAAATAACTATCTCAACTGTTAAATAATTATTTAGATTTATCTAATTATATTACATTTGTCTCATTGTATAGAAACACTAAACTAAGGTGAAAATGGACTTCGGTAAGTAATTTACTTTCCCTATGATAAGTGAAGTTCACAAACTTAATTCTAATTTAGGGGTTATCCATTGAACCTCTTCCTCGAGCCTCCACTGCCGACAGCAGGCCAAATATAACCTTATTAGCTTAAATATTATATGGGCAAATTAACTCGTGAAATGTTCAATGATATCTTCCAAAGATTTTCAGATTTATGGTGCTATTTTTGCTCTCTGAGATGGCACTAGTAAATACACTAGGTTTTGTCATGCTGGCATGTGTGGAAAGTTTTAAGCCATGTGTGTTACAACTAGCCTGTGTTAGTTTGTGGTTTATTGTGTTGTGTATGTGAAGTTAAAGCACAAGTGTGTGTCTGTGTGTGTAAAGTCAAGTGTGTGGTTTGTTTTCAACCCCATATAAACCTCATAATGAGAACATGAAGATTCGCTCACTTTTTAAATGCTCTTATTACAGTTTGTTGAAGTCGAGTAAAGTGTCAGAATGATTTCCTCTCATCTGTGTGTTCTGTTCCTGTTTGGTCTGTGCAGTGAGTAAATAGAAATCACTCTTTGTTCACTTTTTTATTACTATATGTGGATTGTTTACGGATGCACAGAGTTTATGTTACTGACCTGAGGCAGACCTTGGTTTTTATTGTACAATGTTGCATTTTACGCTTCCAAACTGCTGTTAAATAAGATGGACATTTACCTATTTTTGTTTATGGTTTTTATGTGGTAAGTTATGAATTTAAGTTTATAAACCTTTTAAATTGAGTATTAAATGTCTCGGTAGGATTCGTTCCATTGTGTATTGATAAAATAGTGTAAGATGCCAACACAATCTCATAGGAATTTGTAATCATTTACATTCACTGCTTTTTTTTATTTTTATTAAACTAAAAGATATCTAAGATAAGAATTCATTATTTATTCTTCTTCCAGGTGTGTCTGGTGTTTATACAGATGAAACTGAGACGATATCAGTGATGGAGGGAGATTCTGTCACTTTACACACTGGTGTCACTGAAATACAGAGAGATGAACTTATTTTGTGGACATTTAGACCTCACAATTCAGAGACCCGTATCGCTGAAATCTATAAACAGATCATCTCTATATATGATAGTGTTGATAATGAGAGATTCAGAGACAGATTACAGATAGATGAGGAAACAGGATCAATAACCATCACAAACATCAACACATTTCACTCTGGACTTTATAAACTACAGGTCATCAGTGAAAAGGTCAAACACGTGAGCTTCAATATTGCTGTCTATGGTGAGTAAACTGAATAAGTTTAAAGGTTTTAATTTTAAATCAAATGCAAATCTGACCATCTGGATGTGCACTTTTATTTATTATTGATCTGATGATCGAAGATCTTTACACACATCAATATCAGTAATTGCTTGTTCCTGAAATATGTTTTTCTTTCATGTTTTTAAGGTATGCTGACAGTTCCTGTCATTATCAGAGACTCTTCGTCATCATCATCATCATCATCAAATTGTTCACTGGTGTGTTCAGCTGTGAATGTGAGTGATGTGACTCTCTCCTGGTATAAAGGAATGAGTGTATTGTCCAACATCAGTGTGTCTGATCTCAGCATCAGTCTCTCTCTACCTCTGGAGATTCAGTGTCTGGATGATTCATACAGATGTGTAGTGAACAATCCCATCAGCCACCAGACCACACATCTGGACAACAACATTCAACTCTGTCAGCCATGTGAAGGTACGTCAGCAGCAACATTTTACAACTCTTTTTCTTTATAAATGTGCAGTTCATACTATACGTATATGAAGTTTGACTGAAAGCATTGACCATTTTCTCTTTATTCATTACAGAAATGTCAGAGAATAAATTTCATTTGATATCCATTATAGTGTGTGTGCTTCTTCTGTTCATTTCTGCGTGTGTGTTTTACCGTTGCTGCAAGAAATGCAACCGAGAAAAACCAGAGGGCAAGTATTACTACATACTAACTGACAAGACAACGACCCTCTTTATATGCAAATTAGTTTAAGAGCCTACATTTTCATAGTTTCAACTTTTAATAGTTTTAACTAACTGTGTATATTGGTAATATAATCAAAAACTTTTGATTTCATTGTGAAATGTCAGAAAGCAGCACCTGATGTTAATAAATACACTGAAAGTCTCCGTGTGTGTGTGTGTGTGTGTTTGTAGATCAGGAAAGCCTGTCCGAATACACACAGATCATCTACCGTCTTCAGATCACACACCATCACGGATCATAATTCCTCATTCAACACTGATTTCACCGAAACCATCTTGCAGTTTAACAAGGTTTTTAGGTTTCAAGATTTGTGCATTAACATACAAGTGTAAAATGCATTTAATTTGATTTGAACTTGCAATTTATGAATGTGTCTACTATATGAATTGAATTAAAACAAATAAACTTTTGATTGACTTATTCAAATAGTGTGAGAGAGATTCATCATTGTATTGTGTGTGTGATCCGGACATGTTTTGGAGTCAGCTCTTGAGTTATCGAGCTCAGTAAATGTGTTTGAACTGACTGTGGTTAAACGTGCTGGCCGGATGTTCAGTTAATGCGTGTTTGTGAGAGTGTGAGACGTGCAGTTTATTCTCACAACAACGAACAAACCTTCTGAGAACCTGATAGACCCTGAAACTACATAACATGAGAGTTTTCTGATGAAGAGGAATCCAGAATGATGTTGTGATGAAACATTTGTTCATGAGATTCACAGTGAGAGTTTGTGAAATATAAAGAGGAAGAATATATTCATCTTAGTCAGCAGAGTGCAGACAGAGACCAGATACTACTAAAACCAGCTTGCTTTTGATTTAGCAATCTATCCTTAAGAAATCAACTTTTTAATCAGGAAGTTGCTCTTCTGTGTCTGGACGTATGTTTGTTACGATGTTTTCTCATCTGTGTGTTCTGATCCTGTTCATTCTGAGCGGTGAGAAACTCTTTACACTCTGATCAGCAGTTAATAATTTATTTAAACACAACTACATTTTTACAAGAGATAAAAATGTTTTACTGTCTAGTCTAGAGGACATGATTAAACAGGAAATTAGATTATATAAAGTCACTGTCTGATAATGATATATTATTTTTATATCTTGTTCAGGTGTGTTTGGCGCTGGTACAGATGAAGTGAAGTCGGTGTCAGTGACTGAGGGAGATTCTGTCACTCTAAACACTGATGTTCAAGTACAGAGTAGAGATCAGATACTGTGGATGTTTGGACCTCGAGAGACTCGTATTGCTGAAATATTTAAGCAGAACATTGATATGTTTGACAGTGATGTGACATTTGGAGACAGACTCCAGATGGACAGTCAAACTGGATCTCTGACCATCAGAAACATCAGATCTGAACACACTGGACTTTATAAACTAACCGTCATCAGAAGCGAAGAAACTTCATACAAAAAGTTCAATGTTACTGTTTATGGTGAGTAAAGTGAATAAGATCAACTTTTTCTCTTTATGTGTTTAATATTCGGCAGAGACAGACTGTCTCACAGTAAAACATGTATGACCAATAAATTTAATTTAGTTTTTATAGGGAACTATAAAATAAACGATGTTATTTTTTGTCTTATTTTAATTGTTTAACTAAAGAATTTAATTATTTTAATGTGAAAGTGTTTTAAAAAGTGAGAATCTGTGAAATGCGTCAAACTTGACATTAGATTTTTCTGGTAGAAACATTCACCAAACTTTACAAAACAATATAACTTTGAAAATAACATTATTATCCGATTATTTTTTCTAGTATCTTGTTGAAGTTGTTGTGGCACATGCGTGTATATTTTTCCCTTTATTGAACTGCAATTATTAAAAATCTTCAGATACTTTGTATAATATTTATACTATATATTTGATAATAAACCTCTTCTTTTGTGTTTTCCAGCTCCTCTTCCTATTCCTGTCATCACCAGAGACTATTCAGACTGTCCATCATCATCATCTTCATCAAGCCAGTATTGTTCACTGGTGTGTTCAGCTGTGAATGTGAGTCATGTGACTCTCTCCTGGTATAAAGGAATGAGTGTATTGTCCAACATCAGTGTGTCTGATCTCAGCATCAGTCTCTCTCTACCTCTGGATGTGGAATATCAGGATAAAAACACTTACAGCTGTGTGATCAACAATCCTGTCAGAAACCAGACCACACATCTAGACATCACGCAACTCTGTCACACATGTGCAGGTACGTCAACATTTTCAACATATTACTTTCTTTCTAAATGTGCAGTTCTGTGTCTATATGAAGTCCGACTGAAAGGATTGACCATTTTCTCTTTCTTTATTACAGAAATGATACAGCCCTCAAATGCATCACTTATATTCACTATAACAGTAGTGTGTGTGCTGCTTCTGTTCATTTCTGCGTGTGTGTTTTACTGTTGCTGCACGAAATGCAAACGAGAAAAAACAGAAGGCAAGTATTACTACATTACTAATTAAAATTTTGAACATTTAATACTTCTAAAATGACAAGTATTCTTATTATTATAGAATAGAAAATATATCAGTGTGAAATGTCATCTGATTAAATAATATATAATAATGTTAAAAACACTGAAAATCTCCATGTGTGTGTGTTTGTAGATCAGGAAAGCCTGTCAGAATACACAGAGGTCATCTACCGTCTTCAGATCACACACCATCACTGATCATCAATATTCATAATAATGTAATATTCAACAACAGTCTCCAGATGGACAGACACTGGATCTCTGATCATCAGAAACATCAGATCTGAACCGTCATCAGCAACAGAAGAACTTCATACAAGAGATTCAATGTTACCGTTTATGATTTAAAGATTTTTAATTAAATTAAATGAGATTAATTTAGTTGGACAATACAAAACAAGTATTGTTATTTTATCATACATTTAATAGCCTCTTTTTATATAATTAGTGTGCTTATATTTTTTTATTTCCATTATCATTTATATCATGTTTGATTGCTTATGCGTCAGCTAGTGTCTGCTTCATATCAGATGTTTCTGTATCACCCGTATTTTCTTGTTTTGCGGAGATGTAAAAGTATTTCTAGATGACTGAAACAGGGTCGTGTAACCACAAACACACTTCACACACTTCACCTTCTTCCAAGCAAGGCCCATATCTATCTTTAACTTGTTTGTTATCTAGCAGTTCTCACTATCACTTATGATGAAGAAACCACACGCAGAACATGCTAAACTTAGAATGACGCATATATATTGAATATTATCCGTTTCAAACCAGTGATTCGGAGCGTGTATGAAATACTACAGACATTTCATATTATTAAGTGATTTGTATATTACATTTATTTAATAGATTACACTTTCAATAAAACATTTGCAATTTGGGTTGTAAAAGGATGTTTTGACTGAGTTTGTGTTGCATTTACACTGTTTGACCAGTAGAGGTCGTGAGCGTGTGACGTTTCGAGCCACAGTGAATCGTTTTCGAAACAATTGGTTCAATTGATTCAGTTTAGAAAAGCTTCGTTTATCTTGAAGAGTTCTTCAAAAACATATGTGGTATAAAAACTAACCATATAGTTCCACCATGGTATACAGTGACCAACCTTTAACCATGACATTTGTAGTAAAACCATGAAAAATAATAATTATATATATATATATATATATATATATATATATATATATATATATATACATATATATTCAAGACAACACATAACGGGTCCAAATGAGGTCCTTATGTTATGTTGACATTATAAGCTATAGGTTAGCCTAATCTTTTTTGCAGTTTGATGGTGAAGATCGTGGATGTTGACGGGAAGGAAGATAACCAAGGATACACACACCTCGACTTGATGGCGGTAAGGTAATCTTAGATGAACTGGAGACACTGGGGATAGTGATGTTATGTGACACCGAAGCTTCAAAGCGTGGTTATCAATAAAGCCAGACACTTTCGTTTTACTTTAGTCACGTCAAATGAATGCTGCTGCAACTTTGAACCCAGACCACTATCTACACGTTTATGTAAGTTCAATTCCATTTACTAACACATATCGTCTCACCATATTTTCTGCCATATAACTAAGCAGTATACTACATACTTAAATTTATTAGACCAGCATTTACTTATTATTATTACATTTAATTCACTTTAATATGTGAATTCGATTATCTGTAAACTGAACGTTTGACTTCTGGGAACGTGGGAAATGTAGTCCATAGTAGTGTGTGTAAGGATTGGAAGGAGAATGACACATGCATTAACATTGCCTTTGTCATTATGAATTATATATATATATATATATAATTAACATTGTCATGGTTTTACTACAAATGTCATGGTTAAAGGTTGGTCACTGTATACCATGGTGGAACTATATGGTTAGTCTATAACTATAAGGGCAATATGGTTACTTTTCTTAAGGTCTGTTTTTGTCTTGTCGATGTCCAAGCCTGTAAACGACATGCATTTTTACCTGTATGTTTTTGTTGAGAATTTGCATTTGGCATAAGGTTAGATTGTAGATTTAAATTTTATGACATGAATTTTTTTTATGGTTGTTTTGCATCGACTTTGCAGAATCGCTTAAAGGGTTAGTTCACCCAAAAATGAAAATTCTGTCAGTATTTACTCACCCTCGTGTTGTTCCAACCCCGTAAGACCTTCGTTCATCTTCGGAACACAAATGAAGATATTCAAGATATTAAGATCGCTCCTGCATACAGTCCATAGGCTTCTTGAGGGACTGGCTCTTGCTGTCCTCGAAAAGTCATTAAAGACATCGTTAAAATAGTCCAAGTGACTACAGGGGCTCAATCTTAACGACGAGAACACTTTTGTGCGCAAAAAAACAACAAAAATAACGACTTTATTTCAACTATTTGTTTATATTGTTAACATTCATTAAACACAGACCTCCGGATACGGTAAGACACGGTTGTTATTCTCTGCACTAAATCTCTGATGAAAGCTAAAACTGTTTATTTGTTTCTCTACTTGTTTTTTATATGCATGTTGTTGTATAACTAAACACTCACACATTATACACACTTTAAAAAAAAAATCAGTATTTAATGATTAATAAGTGCTTGCTTGTTTTCTTTTGTGAATTGAGTAATAAAATCATTAAAAGTGCATTTCATTACAGGAGGCTGGTGGACGGGATCAGACGGTGTATTTAGAAGTTGTTTTAAGATGATGATCATTCATATTATTATCATACAGATCAGTTTATGCTCAGGTTTATGTCAGTAGCAAAGCTCAAAACCTCAAAGTTAAGCACAAATGCACTGATTGCAGCTCTGCTTGCTACAAAGGACTGAATTTCAGCATTTCATTTTAAGCAATTTCTAAAAGAATTTAATATTTATTAATAAAGACCACGTCTGTAGGCAAATCCACAATGGAAATGCAACTTTTTAGGGATTTTCAGGGACTCTCGCACGTCAAATGAAATGGGTTCAGTCCTGTGTGTGTGTGTTAATGGCTCCCTCTGCCGACTGTTTGAGACTGTTACATGAATCATGTTTTAACAGCGTTGGCTGGTTGGTTAAGTTAGCTCCTGCTAAAACCATACACTGTGTGTGGGACAAAAAGCATTTCATAAGTTTTAAATGGCGGCCTTTGACTGAATTATTTCAAAACTCCTAAACTTATAAAGACAAGATGCTTAAACAGGGCATTTATAATTTATTGCTGCCTATTAGCAAAAATATCAGTTCAATATGATAATGTCAGATTCTTTTGTATTATTTATAAATTAGCTATGTGTAAACTGTAGGAATTTACACATTAACATTGTAATGTAATAAAATCAACAAGCAAGAAGTTTCTACGTGGATCTGTTGAGTGCCGGTAGAATGCTTCAATCCAGGTACTAGCCTAATTTAGCTATTTAGCTAATAACATGTTGGCTAATAGAAACTAAATAATAGCCAACATGTAATATTATTTCTGAATACAACGCCTTTACTTATTATTTTTTTATTTTCCTGATGAAATGTTTCGTAATGTAAAACAGTAAAGGGTGCATATTTAACAAAGTTTTTCCAACTGCTGTCAGTATTATTTATGTCTGTGATGTGGTCATTGATGTGACAGATGATTTGAGTTTTGTTGTAAGCAGATTTGTTCTTTTATACTTGATATTTTACGCTGTAGGAGTTGCTGGCAAATGTCTTTTTTTTTAATTATTAAATATTCTCTCTCTGCACTGATTATTTTTGACTGTTTATGCTAAAGTATGTTTTTGCTCAGATGTATATTAATGGTGAAATTAAACATTGTTTATTTTCAGCCATATTGGATCCTGTTGAATATTAAATAACATGTGCTTGAAGCTGTTTCACAGTATGTGGACTGTGTGTCAAGGACTTGACGCCTACTACCAATTTTTTCTATTATAATGTAATCATTATGGATCAAAACTTGTAATAATTGCTTCAATGATCTCAAATTAATACATGATTTGAGCTAAACGCATGATCTAATGTTTTAGAACTGTTAATTTCTGAAATATGGACTTTATTTGGACACACTGACTCTATAACAGATCACGAAACATGCATTTTCTGTAAAGCTGATATGATATTGTGAAAAGTGCTGTACAAATAAATGTGGATTTTTTTATTAGTGAGAAATGTAAAACATTCAAATTTTTCTAGACTTGTTTAAATGTACGTGTCATATTTTATGTCAGTTTCTAAAATTTGATCAGTTAATTCAATTAGAATATCAAGACACTATAGGATTGTCATCAGTTAAATGAACAAAATCAAGATTGCACAGCAGAGGTACATGAAGCTGCATCTGAAATGGAAATGTTTGTTTAACGAGGATTAAAGGTATAAATTTACACTGAATAAACAATTGAGTCAATAATGTTATGAGATTGTTGTTTTAAATATAACATTTTGAACATAAAAATGTGAAGTGATGATGACTAATATAATGGGGACGTTACGGGGAGTCTCAACAGGACAAAAAAGGGAAACTCAGAAAAAAAGAAAGTTAAGATTTCTCTAAGGAATCATAAGGCATATATATATGTTACGTGTGACCCAGTGCCAGTATTGAATGTGTTTAATCATTGTGATAGTGGCTCAATCTACTGACTGGTTGAGGAATACATGAGTTCATGGGTTTGGCTGGTTATACTGGTTAAATCAGTCCTGACATTATTATGAATTCATATGCACTGTGTAACTCTTTTAGTTTATTCTTAGCTAAAAACACTTAGTTCTTTCAAAAATATATTTGTGCTCATTAATGTAATTTACTTCGTTCAAGTAATAAAGTATTCTCGTAAGTGTATAATATGCCATTGAAAATACATACGGGTAAGGGGTTCTAATGTCGGTCGCCATGTTTCCCCTCCATCTTGAAAGTACATTAGCCAGAGAGGGACATACCGTTAATTCAAGCTTCGCCTTTCGCATTTACGTTTGAGTTAACACTTATGGACGAGGTCGAACTGGAAGCCATGTTAATCTTGGACTACATTGGCCACCGTACGAGTTAAAACGAAATCGGAATTGAGAGGAAAAGAAACTATAATATTCATTGGATGTTCATAAACCTTTACACCGCTGGATGGGGGTAAAAATTACACGGTGTAGCTCATTCTGAAGCATATGTGAAAGTGACTTTTATTGATGTTAAGTTGTTATTTTCTTAAGAATAATGTTTATTTAATGTATGTGACATAATGTAGTTGGATATAACATTCCACAAACAGTTATGAATTAATTTCTCCCGACCTTCAAGTTCAAGTTAATGCATGTGAGCTTATACTCTTGGAAAGAGAATAATAGTTGTAAAAAATAAACATCTTGTTAAATCTCATAGATTGTACTACAATGAATTAGACACAAAACAGGAAGAGTTATTATATTATTAATAATAATATTATTAGCTCCCGTTGAAGCCACTATAAAATTCAATGTTGAAATCCTATGGTTGAAATCTATTGCAAACTTGTCACATCCAGTAACTCATTTTCACCAGCAGAGGTCAGTATCACAACCCTAATAAATGACTGTCAGTCTTCAACTGTCTTTGGATGTTCAGACTTGCTCTCTGAGCTCAATATAGAAGAGAGCAGAGCACAACCTAACACATAATAATAATTATACATTTCTGAACATTGACTCTGAACATTGACTCAGTCTTTATTCACCTTTTTTCATGGTTTCTCAATAGAATTCATAAAAGTATAGAATAGCACAGTTCTAATAGGGAACATAACATTGTAACACAGTGTGACAACATGCCCCACCTGCACAAGTGGGATTTAATAGTGTCTTCTGTTGGTTACATCAGCATTAAATAACTTATTTATCTCAACTGTTAAATAACAGATTTATGATCACAAAAATATTAGATTTGTCTCATTGTATATAAGTGAAGTTCACAAACTTAATTTCGGGAGGAGTGCACCCATCTAATCTTTCCAAGAACTGTGGATCCAACCCGATCTGACTGCAATTCGTACAAATTTTACGAGGTGGCTAATTCGTAACAATTTGTACGACCTCACTCATACAAATTAGAATTATTTTTGCTAAATCGTACATATTTTACGAGTTGGCCAATTCGTATGAATTCGTACGAATGACCTAGACCCCGCCCCTAAACCTACCCATCACGTGGGTTTAGACAAATCATACAAATTCGTACAAGTGAGGTCATATGAATTAGTACGAATTAGCTACTTTTTAATCACTTGTACGAATTGGTCATGAGATAGCGTGATAAGCATCTGCTGTTTTAGTGTCCCTCCTCCTCCCCAGCTCCACCAGCATGACGCAGGCATCTTTAAGCATTAGCATTAATGGGGGTTTATAGGTTGAATCTCTTCCTTGAGCCTCAACTACCAACAGCAAACCAAATATAACCTTATTAGCTTAAAGATTATATGATGAAATGTTCAGTGAAATCTTCCATATATTTTTAGATTAATGGCCAATGTTTGCTCTATGTAGTGTTGAGATGGCACTAGTAAATACACTAGGTTTTGTCATGCTGGCATGTGTGGAAAGTTTTAAGCCATGTGTGTTACAACTAGCCTGTTAGTTTGTGGTTTATTGTGTAGATGTAAAGTTAAAGCACAAGAGTGTGTCTGTGTGTGTAAAGTCAAGTGTGTAGTTTGTTTTCAACCCCATATAAACCTCATAATGAGAACACGAGTGTGTGAAAGTTCAGATCACAGTTTAAATGCTCTTATAACAGTTTGTTGAAGTCGAGTAAAGTGTCAGAATGATTTCCTCTCTTCTGTGTGTTCTGTTCCTGTTTGGTCTATGCATGGAGTAAATAGAAAACACTTTTATAGTTTTTGCACTTTTTTATTACTATATGTGGATTGTTTACGGATGCACAGAGTTTATTTAGATCTTCTCTGTATAAAAATATAATTTTGTCTGGAAAACTTGTATATGCTCTTCAAGTGTCTTTGTTGGGGTCAGTGATGGAGGGAGATTCTGTCTCTCTAAACACTCGCAGACACACAGAGAAAGCCAAGAGTCGAAGAAACCACAATAAAGGTGGTGCTTCGAGTTAGTGAGACCGCCTTTTATCTGCGTTGGTTTCAGACCTAGGTTTTTGTTTGTTTGTTTGTTTTTTCATGCGTTTTATACTTCCAGACTGTTTAGGCTTTTAGCGAATATGAAGGTTCATCAATTTTTCTGTTTTTGTCTATGGCTTTTGGGTGGTAAGTGCTATTTTTGTGACTTCAATTCTTTATAGTTTTAAAATAATTACATTATAAATAATCTCCTTGCATATCTGCTTGTTACCTCTTTATTACCCAAAACTTAACATATTGTTCCCTTATACCTACACGGAGGTACACTAATTACAGAAACGTACACCATAATTTTGGTTTACTTACGCAGTTGTTTGCGGGTCGTAAAATAAAGTGTTACCAAAATGTTTTACTAAAGGACATGATTAAACAGGAAATGAGATTATATAATGTCTCTGTCTCTGATATATTCTTACATCAGTTTCAGGTGTGTTTGGTGATACAGATGAAGTGAAGTCAGTGTTAGTGACGGAGGGAGATTCTGTCTCTCTAAACTCTGATGTTCAAATACAGAGAGATCTGATACTGTGGGCTTATAGACATGACCGTTCAGAGACTCGTATCGCTAAAATCCATGAGCATGTCATTGATATGTTTGACAGTAATGTGAGATTTGGAGACAGACTCCAGATGGACAGACAAACTGGATCTCTGACCATCAGAAACATCAGAACCACAGACTCTGGACTTTATAAACTGTGGATCTTCAGCAAAACTAACACACACAAAAGTTTCAGTGTTACTGTCTATGGTGAGTAAAATTAAGTGTTGATCAAGAAATCTACATAGTGGGCTGGTGTAGGGGGATTGAGGGATGGAGATGTAGATGTTTTTGTTTTGTGATTGCCTGGGATGATTATTAAATGAACATTCTGCTCCTGACCTGAACCATTTACATGTTTTCCAGCTCCTCTACAGACTCCTGTCATCACCAGAGACTCTTCAGACTCTTCATCATCATCATCATCATCAAGACCATCAGTGTCCAGATGTTCACTGGTGTGTTCAGCGGTGAATGTGAGTGATGTGACTCTCTCCTGGTATAAAGGAATGAGTGTATTGTCCAGCATCAGTGCGTCTAATATCAGCATCAGTCTCTCTCTACCTCTGGATGTGGAATATCAGGATAAAAACACTTACAGCTGTGTGATCAACAATCCTGTCAGAAACCAGACCACACATCTGGATATCACGCAACTCTGTCACACATATGCAGGTATGTCAACATTTTCAACATATTTTCTTTATAAATGTGCAGTTCATACTGTGTCTATATGAAGTCCGACTGAAAGGATTGACCATTTTCTCTTTCTTTATTACAGAAATGACACAGACTTCATATTCATCACTTATATTCACTATAACAGTAGTGTGTGTGCTGTTTCTGTTCATTTCTGCATGTGTGTTTTACTGTTGCTGCACAAACTGCAACCGAGAAAAAACAGAAGGCAAGTATTACTATATTACTAATTCAAATTTTGAACATTTAATACTTCTAAAATGACAAGTATTCTTATTATAGAATAGCAAATACAAAGTATATCAGTGTGAAATGTCACCTGATTAAGTAATATATAACAATGTTAAAACCACTGAAAATCTCCATGTGTGTGTGTTTGTAGATCAGGAAAGCCTGTCAGAATACACAGAGGTCATCTACCGTCTTCAGATCACACACCATCACTGATCATTACTCAGATCATTAATATTCATAACTATAATGTAATATTCAAAAACAGTGTCCAGATGGACAGTCAAACTGGATCTCTGATCGTCACAAACATCAGATGTGAACACATATGAACTGACCGTCATCAGCAACAGAACGTTACTGTTTATGATTGAAATATTTTACAAATATTTACTAAATTAAAAGAGATTAAATAAATTGGAAAATAAAAACAAGAATTGTAATATTATTATGCATTTAATACCCTCTTTTTATATAATTAGTGCTTATATTTTTTTTATTTCAATTATCTTTTAAATCATGTTTGATTGCCTATTGATTATGTGTCAGCTAGTGTCTGCTTCATATCAGTGTTTATGTATCACTCTTATTTTCTTGTTTTGTGGAGATGTAAAAGTATTTCTAGATGACTGAAACAGGGTCGTGTAACCACAAACAAACTTCACACACTCCACCTTCTTCCAAGCAAGGCCTATCTCTATCTTTAACTTGTTTGTTATCTAGCAGTTCTCACTATCACTTATGATGAAGAAACCACACGCAGAACATGCTAAACATATACACGAATATATATTGAATATAATATATATATATTTCAAACTAGTGATTAGGAGCGTGTGTAAAATAAACTACAAAAGTTTGGCAATGTGATTTCAGTGAACAAACATGTTTCGGAGCGTGCTGAAATTTCACTGGTTATAGCCTACATATAACACCTAACCGGTATATACTACAGACATTTCATATTATTAGGTGATTTGTATATTACATTTAATATATTACACTTTTAATAAAACATTTGCAATTGGATTGTAAAAGGTTGTTTTGACTGAGTTTGTGTTGCATTTACACTGTTTGACCAGTAGAGGTCGTGAGCGTGTGGTGTTTCGAGCCACAGTGAATCGTTTTCGATACAATTGGTTCAATTGATTCACAGTTGAGAAAAGCTTCGTTTATCTTGAAGAGTTCTAAGAAAACCAGGGCTGCCAAACTCTCACGCATTGAGCGTGAGACTCACGCAATTGAGCCAATTTTTACGCTCTCACGCTACACTCCCGATTTCTCACGCTAAAGTGTTAAGCCAGTCTGCACCTGAAAGATAAGTTTATCTATAAATCCACCAGTTGAGCCACTCGTGATCGACTAGTTTTACCGCAAATTAGTTAAAATATCCTCTAATCTAGTCTAGAGCGACCGTGCATATGAGACAGATGTTGAGCTCCTAACGGCGCGGACGCAAAACCAGGACTGGAGTCATAGCCAATTCCGCTCTGCACTCTAAGCGTTCTGTTATCACTCCGATTAAAAAACTACTCCGTGTTCGTGTGAGCAAAGTGCACACGTTTCTCTAAAACACCCAGCACAAACAGAATGCCTTATTCTTAAAGTCTTGTGCTGTTTTAAGAGGGCAAAAAGCAATAGCAAGACCTTCATGTTAGTTTATACATTTTACATCTCATATGTTCGGCAAAAGGTGGATTCAAACTCGGGTCCGAGCGCATCAATATCTCTTTCATGAACTACACGCTCTACCATCTACGCCACTGTAACTGTTCTGTAACTAGCGTGTTTCTGTTATAAAGACAGACACTAAAGGCGGCTTTAGTGCAAATACAGACAACACATAGCAAAATGAGGTCCTTATGTTCTGTTGACATTATAGGCCAGGTTAGCCAACTCTTTTTGCAGTTTGATGGCGGAGATCGTGGATGTTGACGGGAAGGAAGAAGTTTATAACCATGGATACACACGGTTCTCTCTAGTCAGCGCAGTCTCACCCCAAAAAGTCATATAACTGACGTTTTGGGACGTCTTTTGACCATACGTCAATATTCGCCTTTTTAGGGCCCCCTTAAACGTCGGTAGGGATCCTAACTCTACCCCAGACCTAAACCTAACCCTAAACCTACCTAACCCGTCACCTAACTGACGTTAAAGGTAAAGCGTCAGTTGTATGACGGCCCAGGATCGCCATCTAACCGACGTTTAAGGGTACCCTAAAAGGCGAATATTGACGTATGGTCAAAAGTCGTCCCAAAACGTCAGTTATATGACTTTTTGGGATGAGAATGTGTTGCTCTAGTTGAGGGAACGTGTATTGCATAACTGGCTGTGCTCATGGCACAGCGCTATTTGATGAAAAAAAAGTCTTATCTACGCTAAGCCACGCCCATTCTGGCGGGATTGGACCTGACATTGGGCTCGCTGGTAGGCTGTGCAGTTCCCGCAAAGCAGCCAATGAGCGCGCTCGGATGCCCGCCTCTAGGTCTGCTAGCTGCTGCACTGCGTTGACAATGAATACAAAATGAAGGAGAATTTTTGGCTTCAGTATCTCGAGAAGATAAATCTTTCCCATAGCGTAAGCTAAACTTATGCAATACTCATTCCCTCATCTAGAGAGAACCGAGTTTTACGTTAGGTAACTGATTCATTTTTGATGAAAACATTCCAGGATTTTTCTCCATATAATGGACTTCATTGGGTACCAAACGGTTCAAGGTCCAAAAGACAGTTTCAGTGCAGCTTCAAAGGGCTTTAAAGCCACACGATGCATTCTCAGATTTTTTTTTTTTACCTCTAGAGCCGCTGTGGTGTACTTGCACTGTCGTAAATAACCATTATTCCCCTGTTACTGCATACCTACTGAACTACTGTCAAGTTTTAGACTACTTTATTATAATATAAGTTGCCTATCGCGTTTGCTGACTTATAATGTTTTTACATGTTTTCTGCTAAATCACAACTAAATAGCCTATAGTGTAGAGCTAATGTATTATTTCATTTTTTGATTTTAATGTAAACATTACAAAATGTCAGATGACATCAATAAAGTTACGTCGCATTATTTCATAACATTGGCCATTATGATTTCATTAGACATGATTGACATAATAGTTAGCAAATTGTTTTCAATTGCACTATTTACAACCTCTAGGCTTATATATGTCCTAATAATTACGTGAGATATTGACTATGTTCTCATGATAATCACAGGAATCAACATCAACAGCGTCAAGATTTAATTGATTAATAGTCAACACAATCTGAAGAAAAATTACAGTCGGGAAGTGCACTGTTAGTCATAAAGTTTATATAACAGTAGCTTAACAACCAGACACAGGACTAACGTTACTTGATAAACATCACAACACCTGAGTTCAGCTGGCAAGCTCTTGTGGCAACCTCGGCAATAAAACATAACAAAAAAAAAAAAACCTAAGAGAAACGACTGTTTGTTAGGAAGTCTGCTAAGCTTACAGATTTTGTAATCGAAAGCTAGCTAGACGTGTGGGAATTATTGAACTGGTCTAATTATCAACAACGGAAGAATGAACAGCACCGTAAAAAATGACAAACTACAAGCTAGCGCAGAAACATACAACATAGAACGCAAACAAGTTTACAAATAAGAGATTTACTTACAAGTCCTTCACAAGATTGGCAGGTCAGCATCGCAGTTACAGTCCATTGCTGCTTTTAAGCTCGCGCCAACGACTGAAAGCCCGGCCGAGTGGGACTCTTGTCTGGTTTCTAGCACGGTCCGATTCTCTTTTCCTTTTTCTGGACATTTCTGACCGAGTTTTCTTGGATGTGCGCAAGTAGCTTCACACAGTATGTTGTTGTTGATGTGTGTGACGTCATTGCCGTAAACCATTTCGTGATTCTCGCGAGCTGTATCAGGGGCGCCACTCTCAAACTTGCATGGCTGGTTTTACGGCGGCGTCCCCCCCAAGCTCTACTACCAGGATGATTCGCCCTACTGTGACTTTGTTAACCACCAAAACGACTTTGAAGCTGTTATATTAAGGTACAGACAGATCTTGCATAGAGTGCCTTTAAAGGCCTAACCCTAACAACACCAGATGATGAATAAGGGTCTTATCAAGCGAAACGATCGCTCGTGTCAAAATAAATAAAAAAGTTTTAGTTTTATAAGCTCAAATGCTCGCCTTGCTCTGTTCTATGATGCGCGTTCATGACTCTCCTGTTCGAACTCGTTCATCAAAATGATGTCTCTTTGGAAGACTCATTTCAACATACTACGATTTGGGACGTACTAATTCTATTTTAGAAAACTATTTAGGGCGGATAGTTCTGTAATCTGTGTTCGGCAGGTCCCTCTGTTCATCTAGTCCTTGTCCGATCTACTTTCTATCAAGTGTGTATGAACCTTCTGCCCGTCTGTACCTGTGTTAGTCGTATTTGTAAGTAAACACTTTGCTATTGGAACATCTGACTCTTCTGCTTCTTCTGCCTGCACCACACCATGACTGTATTCAATGAGAACAGTGGGAGTATTCATTTATAATTTGAATATTTTACTTATAGATAATAATCAGTTATACTATTATTTTTTTGTAGATTAAGTGATTTCTACAATAATCTCTTGCTAGATTTTATAGCTAAATTCATGCTGATCTTTCACATGCCTGTGACAAAAAAAGCAAGCACAAACGTAGGCACATGCAAACGCAAACTGCCATTTGATCTCATCTATACAAAAGCGTATGTCGGCCATTGGAAAAAAAAAATATTTCATTGTGTTCGATGTTGCATTTGTGCAATTCTGCAAAGAGCCTCAAATTTGTTTTTGTTGTTTTTCTGTAAACAAGAAAGATGCTCTTCATGCACCTTGACATACTTTCCAGCTGGGTTTCTGAGTCAAAGCGAGATGTGCTGTGGTCTAAGCAGGCTATTGGCTCAAGGCTATTATTGTGGTAGGTGTGCTGTAAACGCTTACGTGTTGTTTAGTTGAAGGGCAGCTTGTCCATAAACTTCAACCGAGTAAACAGGCTTAGAGCAAACTGATGTTGTGAGTAAAAATACACTTTACCGCCTGGAGCCAAATCAGTTTTGCAGATGATCATGATCATCCTTGATGCAGAACTATTATCTGAAACTGTCATTTCTTCAGCATCTGTTAACCTGCAAAAAAGTCATGCAAAGTAAATAATCCTAAATAATCCTAAAGTAAATAATAATAAACAAAAGTAAAC